ATTTGGCATCCAGTTGCAGGTTGAAATTTAATTGATTTATAAGCTGGTAAACTCTTGGCAGCTGAACAGGCTATGAAATCTCTGTTCAGTTCTCAACACTGCCATGCATTATGCCACACATAACTGTGGCTTCACAAATTTTAGACAGCCTTGCATGTCTGGTACAAAACACTTTGCCGACTGAGGCAATGGACAAAATGCCATTCCGCCCTCTTCATTGTTTGCAGAGAAGCAGACTGATCCAACCCTTGAACCTATGATCAATATAGGTCAGTGGTTCCCAATCTGTGGGCCGTGGACCACCTGTGGTCTGCAAGAACTAAAATATGGTCCGCAGCTTCACAATTACTACACTGATGCAACTAGAGCGACTTGTCTCACAAAACCCTCTTATAGTGCCAAGGCTTATTAAATATGGTTTTCTGTGGGTGAGCAGATGGCTACTACTGGATGGCATATGGTCTGTATCAAAAACTAGAGCTAATGTGGTCTATGCAATGCATTTTCTGAATCAGCACCCCAAATAATCAAACCAAATCGAAAGTTGACCAAAAACGGATTTGTAACCCTTTTGGTACTAATGTTGGAGAGTGGTCCCTGGTAAAAAAAAAGGTTAGGAGCCACTGATATAGATGATGGGAAAGGTTCCTCCTTCTTATAGAAGAGTATGCAGTACAGTCTGTCCATCAATGCAGGAAAGTAACTGAAGAAGAACATCTGGGAGATGGTCTTCATCTCTGAGCCTTGCCAGGTCTTAAATGTGTCAGGGTGACTATACAGAGGCTTGCTTCTTCCACTTCTGCTCTAGCTCTTAGCAGAAAGTCAACAGGAACACCCCCCCCCTCCTTCTCTCAAGCTTTGTGGTGACTTTGTAACTGAATAGGAGCAGCAAAATATTTTGGTTTTCCACCATGCCTTTCTAAGCCTCAACAAGAAGTTATGGCATCCCATTCTTCAAAAAGGGGTCCATTTGTGGTTCACAATGGGCCCTACTTGATTTACAATGGGCCCTATTTGGTTTTGAGACCTCACACAAATATGAAAAAATATGGATGATCACAGCTATTAAATAGCGGCAATGCAAACATGCATGCTTCAGTATGTCTGTGTTCATGCTGCCGTCATTTAATTATATAGAGCATGGAAATCTCCTATTGGCTGAATTTGCAGATTTGGAACCAATGGATCTCGATAGCTCACTATATCAGATTTAAACTATCAGGGCAACCTGACAATGCTGGTGTGACTTATGACAGTACTCTTTAAATTATCCAATTTAGAGGACTGGCCATATTTCTTTTCCAGTGGTAAGGCATTTGTGCCCATTGGCTACAGCTGTTTTTTTTCTTTTCTTTTCTGCAAACTCTGAAGCAACCAGCTGCTGATGGATTGACACATATTCAGAAATATATATGGCCCAAATAGTAATTTTCCATTTCCTCAAAGAACCATGTATACAAAGCTTCCTTGAACAGTGAACATATTAAATCTCACTTCACTTTAGTTATTCAGACTCAGAGGCTTTGTGACTTGCAAGATTATCTTTCAGTAGCACTGTGCACTTAAATGCAATCATATAGCTTTGTGGATGACTACATTCCTTGTCTCTTATATAAGAACCTATCATTTTTAAAAGACAATGAATAAAACACTGACATTCCCAATTCATACAGTGCAATGCCTTCCATTTTTGGAAATGACTCATATTTCACTGACAATACTTTCTTTTTGTCTGTTCTTTCTTTTTTTCAAACTTACAAAGTCTGGCTATGCAGTTCAAAACTTTCAGGTGTATTGTCTAACTTGAGTAACAAACTCCTCTGTCATGTTCAGTAGACATGCCCTTCACAAAGCTCTGGAGGACAATAAACGCATCAGATTGCTGTTACAGCTATGTAATATGACACTACAAGAATGTGAAAGCTGTCCTGGCAGGAGGTGAAAGAGTGCTTCCTAGAATCTCTAAATATTATGGTGATAAATGTGACAACCAGTTACTCTATGGGGAAGCAACCAGTCAACAACAAACAAATACAAAAGCAAACAAAATAGTGGAGCCATGGAACAGGCAGACAAACGTTTCGTAGTAATCTGAGGCCAGACAATTCAAATTCCTTCCATTTCACATTAGAAGACACATAGAAGTCACAGTTATTTACAAATTCAGATGAGGTGTGCTGCCTTTACAAAACTGAAATTGCACCTTAGCAGTTTCAAAGAAATGCACTTTCAGGGTATTCAAGAGCCATATTCACCTGAAGCACCAAAAAAACAGTAAATCCAGTCCTAATGTTTGGCTTATAATACAATACTTGATATGATGTCTATAAACAGAGTTATCTAACATTCACATACAGAGAAAAAGAAATTAAAAATTACTTTCTTAAAATCAAAAACTCTCAGCCTATGTCTCACTGAATAAAAGAGGTGATTCTATTACAGGGATTATTTAAACAGCAGAACATAGTATTTATTTTATTTATTTACCTCATTCCTACCCCATCTTTCTTACCCTACAGGGGACTCAAGTTGGCTTAAAGCTCCGGCAAGAATTCAATGCCGGTAAAAACAACAATAAAAACAATAAAAAATATCCCCACAGTTAAAACGATTAACAGTTAATTAATATACATATAAAACAATATAAAATTAAAAACATATAAAGTTCATAGTTCCATTCATCCAAAATCCTTGCTCATAAACCTTATTCAGACCGTGTTGAAACCTGTAGTAACTTATGCTTCGAACGAGTATGGGCAAAGCCAGGTCTTTAGCTTTTTTCTAAAACCTAGAAGAGATGGAGCCTGCCTGATTTCACTAAGGAGGGAGTTCCACAGCCAAGGAACCACCACTGAGAAGGCCCTGTCTCCCGTCCCCACCAATCGTGCTTGCAAAGAGGGTGGGACTGAGAGCAGGGCCTCCCCAGATAATCTTAAAATTCTAGTAGGCTCATAAGAGGAGATGCGTTCGGACAGATAAGTTGGACATCTTGGATCAGGGAGAAATCTGTAATTTTTTTACTTTTTCACATGGCAACTAATTAAGTTTAAACTAACTCTTTGATAGAGCTTTGCATATCTCTTTCATCAATCATAGTTGCTCAGATACTTTAAATCCAGATGTATCTCTGAAGAAGCAATACACAAAAATGTTCTTATCATACATGACATACAAAACCCATGGGAGTTTACATATTTCACTGCATTGTATGATATATCCCACTCTCACTGTGATTTCATTATACTATAAATGACCTCAAATAAAATCTTCAGGAAGCAACCCAGTAATGGGAAATCCCTAAATGTACAGTCTCCCCCACCATAAAAATGGAAAAACTATGAATACTGCCAGACCCCTTCAAAATGAGGGGAGGTAGGGCACCATTGCCTTGGTCCTCAGGGGGCTCAGATGTGGGCCTCCCTTTCATTTTGAGGGGCCTTTCTATTTGCTTCCCCTTTATTCCAGCCCCTTGACTAAAATCTTATCACACAGGTCTTTTACTTTTTACTTTTATTCAGCATCAGCTCTCTCTACACCATCCTGAGTTTAGATTTGTTGGATGTTCAGGAGAAAAATGAGGCCACTGAGGTTAACTCGGCCAAAGGGTGGTCTCAGAGTAGGGGAAAGATGGAAGACAAAATGGAGGTGTGCTGCTTTCTCTCTTTCCTTCCAAGTCAAACTTGGGTGGGTGCAGAGACAGGTGACTAAATAAAAAATCTGCATCCACTAGAGTTTGGTTTTGCTGGGCTGTTTTTTAGCGACTCCTCCCCTTTCTGTCTACAAGACAAATGAGGACACCATAGAGACTTTAGCCAAGGAAAGGAAAGGAAAACAAGAAGGCCCCAGGGGAAAGTGCAGTTCTCCTTTCTTCCTTCCAAGGTAAAAATTGGGTGAAGAGATAGTTGATGCTGAGTATTCAGTAAAAGGCCAGCACCTGCCCAAGTTTGACTTTGCTCGGCTGTTTTTTGGATGCCTCTCATCCCCTAGTATCCAGAAGAGAAATTAGACTAATAAGGGAACTCAGCTGAGAGGCACACACCAAGGAAGAAATCCAGGAAAAGGCTGTAGCCCAGTGGTTCCCAACCTTTTTTTTGACCAGGGACCACTTTAACTAGGGACCATTTGACCAGGGACCACTCTCCAACATTAGAACCAAAAAGGTTACGAATCAGTTTTGGTCAACTTTAGATTTGATTTGGTTATTTGAGGTGCTGATTCAGAAAACTGCTTTGGATAGACCACATCTGATACAGAATATACGCCATCCAGTAGTTGCCATCAGCTCACTCACAGAAAACTATATTTAATAATCTAGAGCTGATGTGGTAGTAGCAGTCTTTCATGGATAGTCAGCCTCTCCCCTCCCAACATCCCCATTGCCTCGACACTATAAGAGGGTTTTGCGAGACCAGTTGGTCTTCTTGCCACGTGGTTTTGAGGCAATGGTATAGTAATAGTGAGACCACGAACCACATTTTCATTCTTGCAGACCACTGGAGGTTCATGGACCACAGGTTGGGAACCACTGCTCTAGCCTAACAGCAGCTAACATCAGCACTGCCACTGGGGCTTCTCTCTGGTGGATCTGCCTTTGCACATGGCATGCACTGCTTTCTGTAAGATGCCTTGCACAAGAAAGTCTGACAATACGAGAACTTAAAGAACACTATAAATCAGGGAAGAGGAGGAGAAAGACTGAGAAGTGGAAGCACAGGAAGTAGGGAGGCAGGATAGGGGTGGTGGAGGTGGCAGGGCAAGACAGAGTTGTGGGTGAAGAAAGAAGGTCAAAAGGAGGTTAAAAAGAATGATGACACCATTGGAGATTTTTGCAGAAGTACTGTTGCCCTAGGAGGCAAAGGGTAGTGGCTTAGAGAATGGCAACTGAGACAGCTACAAACTCTCAAGTAAAAAAGCTAGAAAATTGATGGCTGACTGCACTTACATCTGGCTACAAATAAATCATAGTTTTCATTTTATATCCATCTATTACAGCAACTTACATTCTAAAGCATGATAAAGTAATTCAAAATCATCCTTTGTTTTAGGAAATAGTCTTCGATTATACTCCTTGAGCAACCTATCTGCCCTTTCTCTCTGTTTCCTTCTCTCTTCTTCTTCTTCCCATTCCAGTCTCAACCTCAATTCTTCTTTAAGTTTTTTGACTATATTAATTGCTAGCCATCGTCGGTAATAGGTCTGCATTACAATTGTCTGTAAAAGTGGTTGAGAAACAAGAGAAAAGTATAAGAGGAGAATAATCAGAACATTTCAAGAAGTTGTAAATATCCTATTGTATCTCACATACATTTTGGAAATTACACAAAATGATGTTTCAGCAACAAATTTGCTAGGTTTTGTCAGAACATCGTTTATATCAGACTGGTAAATGTTGGAGTGATTTAAATGGTTAAGATGAGCTGAAAATCTCTTATAAATTATTACCCACCAGAAATACTTTCATGGTTACGCTGAATAGTGATAGAGAACTTCTGAAATGGAAATGCATAAAATCTAGTGCAGATGTATGCTTAACAGTCTTGTCTGAACTACACTTACTCCTAAATTCCTCTATGCACTGCCAACATGTAAACTATATTTTGAAGATGAATTGTTTGTAGGTCCACAAGCCTTGAAAAGAGTTCTTATTCTGCTGTTTTGAAGATAGCAGCATGATCAATACTTACTGCCTTTAGTCTTCGTGCATGATATTCTTCTGCAGTCACATACTCTTTCGGTTCTATAAGTTTATCAGTGATATTTGACATATAAACTCCGATTTTGGTCATTTGTGTAGAAGTTGTATTTCTTGTCTGCTGCAGCTTTCTTCTCTCATAAACTGTCTGAGAATGAATTTATTTATTTATTTGTTTGTTTTACAGTATTTGAAGCCCATCTTTCTCAGCCTTACGGCAACTCAAGGCGGCTCACAGAATTGGCAAATTTGATGACATACATTCATAAAAAAGTTAAAAACATTCAACTCAACATTATAAAAAAAGCATATACAAACCATTTAAAAACATATAACCTCCAGTGTCATCCTGTTAAAATCATTATCCAGCAGCATCGTCTAGCCATTCCGTGTGCATTCTTCCTATTTCATAATTACCTATTCTGCTGCATTTCCAAACGCTTGTTCAAAAAGCCACGTTTTTACTCTTTTTCTGAAGGTCAGGAGGGAGGGGGGTTATCTAATATCCCTAGGGAGGGAGTTCCACAGCCGCAGGGGCACCACTGAGAAGGCCCTGTCTCTTGTCCCTGCCAGATGAGCTTGCGAGGAAGACAGGATTAAAAGCAGGGCCTCCCCACATGATCTTAAGTTCCTAGATGGCTCATAAGAAGAGATAGGATCGGACAGGTAAGTTGGCCCGGAACTGTTTAGGTCTTTATAAACTAAAACCAGCACTTTGAATTGTACCCAGTAGCAAACTGGCAGCCAGTGGAGCTGGTGCAGCAGAGGAGTTGTATGCTCCCTAAGCACAGCTCCCATTAGTAGCCTGGCTGCCATCTGCTGGACCATTTGAAATTAACAAATACTAATCTTCTCTCTCTCTCTCTCTCTCTCTCTCACACACACACACACACACCTCATGTGCTAAAAATATTGGGCTTGTTCCCTCTGTATAAATCGAAATGGCTGAAAATGTCTATTTATAAGAAATATTACCTCATCTCTTTATCCAATATAACAAAAGTTTCCATAGCAGCTTTTCATATTCACATTAGTCTTATCTTATACTTTTGCAAACATACCTGTGTTGACCTACAGAACTCTTCATAGCCTTTATCTGGACGTTTCTTTGGATCTGTCTGCGATCCTGCATTATGATATTCGGTGCCTGTTTCCTTATGTCTAAATCCACCTAGAAACGGTTTCTCAAAGGTTGGCCTTTTAATCCCTACCTCTATATCCTGAAAGGTGTCTGGATCTATTAAAATAAAAGTGGTTTTGTTAAATTACCTTCAACTACAAATATAGTACCTGCAAGAACAGAAAAAATAGCACCTGACTAGAATAAGACTTAATATAATGTATATTTGAAATATATGTGTTTACCAGTCTGTACTCTAACAGTTATGACATCGGGCATGTAGTATTCCTGTAGGAGTTTAGATGCTTTGACTGGAAAGTTTTCTTCATCAAGTGAGAACATGTCAACCTGGATGATCCCATAAGGCTGTGCACCAAGATCCCACAGGGTTTCATCATTTTCAATTATTCTCCCTAAAAGTTAATATGCAGATTAGGTTTAATATAAAATAAAAAGAACATCAATTAATTTCTTTAGAAAGCAATAGAAAGGGGCTCTGATCATGTCAATTGTGATGCAATGGTTGTTATTTTATTTATATCCCATACCTTTCCCAGTATTGCAACTCAAAAGTTACAACAAACATAAAAAATTTACAGAAACTCGTTAAAATCTATAGAATTAAAACCTTTTCAAACACACCAATTTAAAGGCAAAAAGACAACAAAGCAGCACACTATTAAATGGCACATTAGTAAAAGTCCTTGTGTCCAGTTCCTAAAGTAAAGGTAAAGGTTCCCCCGACATTAAGTCTAGCCGTGACCGACTCTGGGAGGAGGTGCTCATCTCCATTTATAAGCCAAAGAGCTGGTGTTGTCTTTAGATGCCTCCAAGGACCTGCGGCCGGCATGACTGCATGGAGCGCCATTACCTTTCCACAGAAGCGGAACCTACTGATCTACTCATATTTGCATGTTTTTGAACTGCTAGGTTGGCAGAAGCTGGAGCAAACAGCGGGAGCTCATCTCACTCCCGGGATTCAAACCACCAACCTTTTGGTCAACAAGTTCAGCAGCTCAGCAGTTTAACCTGCAGTGCCACCATAGAATTAAAACCCTTTCAAACCAATCAATTTAAAGGAGAAAAGTCAACAAAGTAGCACACTGTTAAATGGCACAACAGTAAAAGTTCTTGTGTCCAGTTCCTAAAAGCTTATAAAAACACGAAATGCTTTCATATGTCAATGGAAAGAAAGTAAGGAGGGGGCCATTCTTGTCTCTCTAGAGAGAGAATTCCAAAGCAGGGAAGAAGCAACTGACAAGGTCTTTTTCTGTGTTCCCACCAAAGGTAGCTAGGAAGGTGGAAAAATGGACTTCCCCTGAAGAACTTCAGACCACAGACAGAGGATGCATCTACACTGTAGAATTAATACAGTTTGAACTACTAACTCTCATTGTTCAATGCTATGAAGTTATGGAAGTTGTAGTTTTTCAAATACTTTAGCTTTCTCTGCCCAAGTGTGCTGGTGCCCCATCAAACTACAAGTTCCATGATTCCACACCATTGAGCCATTGAGCCAAGTCAGCTAAGCTGGTATCAAACGACATAAATTCTACAGTGTAAATGCACCCAGTCATATGATTCTAACACAACTTATATTTTAACATATAACATTTGGGTCTGTCAAATCACATAAGTTTCCCCCTTTCTACATTTGTTGGATGGGAGCCTTCTGACTGTGCTTGTTGGAATCACTTTTGTGGTATCAACTCATTCCAGGGTTCAGTCTCCTTGAATTACGTTTCCCTAAAGATGGTTTCTTCTGAGTGTAAAAAAGCCTGCTATTGTTGCTGACTTCCCCACATCAAAACCACAATTGTTTCTACTGAACAACTTTCACTGTTCTTCTGGGTCGAGTTCGTTATTACTAAGTAATACATACCAAGCTTCATAATTTGTAAAAGGTCCATTGGTATTTTTAACCGTGTTACAAAGTATTGCTTGATTTGATCCACAGTTTGGTTAATGCTAAAGGCCTTGGTGAAAATCTGGATATCAGGATGCAACATAAATTTAACTGAAAAACAAATAAATGCATTACATTATTGAACAACTGATTCAAAAGATTAGCACTCTAATGAAGTAATAACATTATAATCACTATCTAAATAAAAGATACACAGAAAATGGAGCAATCAAGTATAATCCTTTGGGTGTCGTTATTCACAAAAGCAATTAGTCTGGGCACATATCAACAAACTATGGCAATAATCCTATATGATACAACATAGCATAGTAGTTGTGTAAGCAGATTTAAACTACAGTTGGTGATTCAACGATCCCCAGATAAGAGCCACTGTGGCCCTGTCTCCAAAGCCATGCTGTGCCTGGTGAGAGATCAGAAGATCAGAGAAGCATTTGGCTATGTCCTCCTAGATCGGTGTTTCTCAACCTTCCTAATGCCGCGACCCCTTAATACAGTTCTTCATGTTGTGGTAATCCCCAACCATAAAATTATTTTCGTTGCTACTTCATAATTGTAATTCAGTTACTATTATAAATCGCAATGTAAATATCTAATATGCAGGATGTATTTTCATTCACTGGTACCAATTTGGTGCAAATACCCGATATGCCCAAATGTGAATACTGGTGGGGTTGGGCGGGATTGATTTTGTCATTTGGAAGTTGTAGCTGCTGGGATTTATAGTTAACCTACAATCAAAGACAATTATGAGTTTGGGGGAAATAGGCCTCGACATTTGGGAGTTGTAGCTGCTGGACTTTATAGTTCACCCCCTTGCAGCCCCCACAGGGGTCCCGACTCCCAGCTTGAGAATCACTGCCCTAGATAGATGTGCAATAATTGTACCCACCATGGTTGGGCCCTTCAAGGCAATCATTTTGTGTCTGGCTATGGGGACAACAACTCTTATCTCTCAAAGCTCTCGAACAGGCTAAGATTAGTCATTGACAGGGGTGGGGAGGGGCAGAAGTGAATCTAGTAGGTATGGTGATGTTGGGTTTGTTTGGTACGGATGAAGTTGACTTACACTAATACCTGGGGGTCAGAAGTCCTGGGGGGTTGTGAGGGAGTTCAGAGGGGTCACCAAAGACCATCAAAAAACACATATTTCTGATGGTCTTAGGAACCCCTTTGGCAGAGAAGGCTGAAGATCTCTCAGCCTGCTCTTCTATTCCTTTTTGGAAACAGACGCGAATCCTCCCACCAAAAGCCCTCTTTCACTGTGACTGGCCAGCCTCTCAGCCAGCCTCTTAGCCAAGGGGAGGGCTGTTTCTGAGTTTCCAAGCCGGAGGGGGGGAGGGGGAGAGCAGGCGTTCTTGGTGCATGGCAGCATGGTGAAGGAGAGTGTGTAAGGCTGGAGGTAGGCTGATGCCAGTGAGTCCTTTCAAGGCGGGGGGGGGGGGGGGGGGGGGGGGTTCTGTGTGGGAAGTCTGGCCCAATTGTATTGTTGGTGGGTTTCAGAATGTTCTTTGATTGTAGGTGAACTATAAATCCCAGCAACTACAACTCCCAAATGTCAAGGTCTATTTCCCCCAAACTCCACCAGTATTCACATTTGGGCATATTGGGGATTTGTGCCAAGTGCTCTCTGGATGTAGGTGAACTACAACTCCCAAACTCAAGGTTGATGCCACCAAACCCTTCCAGTATTTTCTGTTGGTCATGGGAGTTCTGTGTGCCAAGATTGGTTCAATTCCATCGTTGGTAGAGTTCATAATGCTCTTTGATTGTAGATTAACTATAAATCCCAGCAACTACAACTCCAAAATGACAAATTCAACCCCTCCAACCCCACCAGTATTCAAATTTGGGTGTATAGGGTATTTGTGCTAAATTTGGTCCAGTAAATGAAAACACATCCTACATATTTACATTACGATTCATAATGTAACAGAATTAGTTATAAAGTAGCAACAAAAATAATTTTATGGTTGGGGCTCACCACAACATGATGAGCTGTATTATGGGGTCGCGGCACTAGAAGGTTGAGAAGCACTGCACTAACAGAGTGCCAGCCTAGATCGTGTTCCCAAAACAATGCCACAAATGAATAAAACGCAAAATCACTATGTGTATTAGGAACAGCCCTCTAGATTTCAACAGGAAAGCCCTTGTTCATACAAACAGCCAGGTAAGATATCTGGAATGCATAAACATTCGAGGGAATACCTTAACCTACATAAGCTAGGGTGTGCAAATCCATTCTGTTTTTGTTCTGTTTTTATTTTGAATTTCGGGTGCCCTCTCCCCCCCCCCCTTCTGTTTTTCAGAAGATTATGGGAGATTAGGTGGGGGGCCTAATCTTCAGAACCCTGAATTCCATTTCTGTTTTGGGAAGAAGTTTCCCAAAAATGTGGCGGGGGTACCCAAAATTCGGAATGAAAACAGAACAGATTTCTGCCATTTTACACACCCCTAATAAACATGTCAAAAAAACCCATGTCTGTTTAGTCTAAGCTAGTGGCCGTGCTTACTCCCTAGGCATGCAGTCTAAGTATAGTGAGTCAATCTCACGTTACTTTGTTTCTGGTTTCTCACCTGTGGAGATCTGGGGTGTTCCTGAAACAGATGTTTTAGTTGTGCCATGAAAATGATAGTATCCCATACACAACCCCCCAAAATACCACAGCTCAGAAGCTAATCCGATGGCATCACTATGTTATTTTAATCTGCAAGATATGTCAATTCAATTTGTCTTCCTAAAAATATCAGCTTCCTGGTTTCTTTTCCTAATTGGATAAATTTGTTATTTTTTAAAGATTATATTTTGCTCTGTTTTGGTATTGTGTGAGATAGAATGATTGATTGATTGATTGATTGATTGATTGATTGATAGACAGATCTCATTTCAATTGTATATAATTTTGTACACCTTTGGACATCAGAACAAAAGAAGAACAAAAGTGAAAAATAGCCTTTTCTAACTGGAGTAGACTCATTTAATGAATAGGATTTATAGAAGTATGGCTTCACCACTAAACAACTGAGTCAACACATCTACTGTAACTGGATTGACCAATAGGATTCATACTGCTGTTATTATTTTGCAGTACATTAGTAGAAAGTATTTAAGACATCTGACAAAATATGTACCTGTTACATTGGGCTCTCTAGTATGTTGTTGAAATTTGGCTCCTTCAGATGCCAAGGCTTGCATTAGCATATCTGTAGCAAAATCAATACGTCTTCTAGAACCACTTTCAGAAGCATCTGTAGTTGTTCCACTGATTCCAGAACTCATTTTGCCACCTAAATCTTGGACATATACAACATCTTCCTGAGTTAGATCAGATTCTACATGGGGCACCCCTTGTTGTTCTGCTGTGTCCAGCCCTTGTGGCAGGCCTTCAGCCAGTTCCTCAACAGTAACTACTCCCTGAACTGATTCCTCAGTAGAAGTTAGCTCCACTGCAGCATCCCGTGCCTGTGATGGTACCTCAGCAGCAGCAAGGCCTTGCACTGATTCCTCAACAACATCTGGGACCTGCACTGGTTCCTCAGCTGTAGTCAGTTCTTCAGCAACATCTGGTCTCTGTGCCAGTTCCTTGCTGGCATCTGGTTCATATGTTGCTAAGTCTGGGTTTTGTTCCTGCTCTGGTGCCTGATCTGGTTCCTCTATAGCAGTCAGCTCCATTGCAGCTAGTGCCTGTGTTGCTTCTTCAGTAGCAGCAAAGCCCTGCACTGATTCCTCAACAACATCTGGAGCTTGTACTGGTTCCTCAGCAGCATCAGGTCCCTGTCCTGGTTCTTCACTGGCACCTGGTTCATATGCTGTTGAGTCTGGATTTTGTTCCTGCTCAGTAAGCAAAGCTACTTCATCCAGCTTTGCATTATCTGCCTGCTCTACTTCAGCACCTGCAGGCTTGCCATGTTCTGCTGCAGAGGTGTCCTCTTCATCTTGCCTTACAGAATCCACTTCATCCAGGTCACCTGCCTTTTCCGGATCAGCCATTGTTTCCTTTTCCAAATTAGCCAGTCTTTAACCTTTATGTAAAATGAAAACAAAATGTAAAGGAAAGTGTGCTTTTGCATTTAGACAGTTGGACTACGATCCTCATTCAAATGACTTTGCATTCCTACACAAAAAATATGTAAGAAAACAGACTGAATCACTTTAAAATTTTACCAAAATTTCTTGCCATCTCATTCTTATTTAAATGTACTTCAGCTTTTTAGATCACATTTTGTTGTTAATCATCTGAAAAACACCATATTTGTGGCTATGGAACTTTCTTCCATGGGAAGTCCAAATAGTCAGGGTAAACTCCTGACCTTCAGCCCAGCTCCCTGCCTACCTAGCGGATCAAAAACAATAATGTGGGTAGATGAATAGGAACCACATTAAGTGGGGAGTTATTTTAGGCAAGGTAAAGTTTATGAACAAAGAAAGCTCTTTGGCAAAGAGATGGAGCAACAGCATCCCCCTATGGCTGGAACCAAGCACATGGGGCAAAAACTTACACACACACACACACACACACACACACCTCTATCTATCTGTTGTCTGTCTTGTCATTATATAATCGGCACTGAATGTTTGCCATATATGTGTTCTGCCCTGAGTCCCCTTCGGGGTGAGAAGGGCAGAATATAAATACTGTAGATAAAATACTTAAAGAAGACATTCATAAGCTACTTGAGCAGATGCCTGCTATTAAATTTATAAATTTCAATTTGAATTTTAAAAAGAAGAAATGTTGTCCTGAAAATCTCTGGGGGAATCTGAACATAATATTTAAAATTGTAAAGTTGAGAGATTACTGCTGAGCCTCTGATTGAGAACTATTTGTATTTGGGCTTTCCTGGTCCACGCCAGACCTGAGTCCCTTTGGGGAAATAGGGTGCAGTACAAATAAAGGTTATTATTATTATTATTATTATTATTATTATTATTATTATTATAGCTAGGCTATCCAAATATGGAAATATTACCAATACATCATAAAACTCATTCACCCATTTATTTCAGAGATAATTCTATTGAATTTTTCTTTCTGTGAGTCACTATATTCTTTGTCTCACAAAGCTTCATCCTCTGCAGACCCAATTAAATTCTACAGAATGCAATAAGTAGGCATTGCTGCACCGGAAAATGATCATTAGTTTTAAAATTGGTTGAGTTCAAGGTAGGTTACATCAAATTAGTGTTACAGCGAAGCCATGGTTCACTAGGTTGAAATACCAGGACAATTCCGGGATGAGTATATTTCCTGTTCTGAGCCTAGCTGTATTCTTGAAAGGTGGATTTTCCCACCAAAATACAATTGTGCTCTACTCCTCTGTAAATCAAAGTATTTGGGGATGGGTTGCTCTTCAATAGTCAATCAAAATTATGTTAGCTTTACAAAAATCTTTTTAAGGTAGACATGAAAACTGCTATACCTGCTGCTTGACAGTGTGAAATAATCGCTCCTCCTGTTGTTGTTATTTAGGGAGGATAATTATGAGGACTATAGGAAGAGAGCTTACACCTAAACATCAGGAAGACCATCTTGATGGTAAGAACTATTTGACAGGAGAATACAGTTCCTCAAAGTGTGGTGGAGTCTCCTTCTCTGGAGGTTTTAAGCAGATGCCATAGGTCAGGAGGGCTTTGACGATGCGTGCCTCCAAGGCAAGGGGTTGGATTTCATGGCTTGTGGGCTTTTCCAACTCTATGGATTCTATGACTGGGTTGATGAGTTGACACTACAAAATGTACAAATGATATATACTGCTGTATTCGCTAATATTTTCCCCAGAGCCACTTTTTCACAGGGCCCTAGTCTTATGGTACAGAACTCTGCACTCAGTATCCCTTAGCATTAATGGAAGTTACTTTTTAAACTAATCATTAGTTGCAGCACTAAGATCACTGAGGCCTCTTCTACACTGGCATGTAATCCGGATTATCAAAGAAGATAATCCACATTATCTGCTTTGAACTGGATTATATCAGACTACATTACCAAATAATCCAGTTCAAAGCAGATAATTTAGATTTTATAAGGCAGTGGAAAAGGGGCCTGTAAGTAGTTATTAGTCATACTTAGGGCCCTTCCACACAGCCCTATAGCCCTGAATATCAAGGCAGAAAATCCCACAATAACTGGGTTATCTGAGTCCACACTCAGATAATGTGGGATTTTCTGCCTTGATATTCTGGGATATAGGACTGTGTGGAAGGGCCTTCTGTTTCAAAAAGTCTTACTTGGGCTTTGCATGTGTAGGAGCCATTTTGTCATTACTGGCACATCAGACCAATATGTTACCCCAAAAACGGACATACTGTACATCATTCATTTTGTTGTATGCCTTCTGATTTGTGGGGTGTTGGGGACCCTAAAGAAAATCAGTTACAGGGTTTTCTTGGCAAGATTTGTTCAGAATGAGCTTGCCTTTGCCTTCTTATTGGCCCTTTCAGACAGGCCCTATATCCCAGAATCTGATACCAGGTTTTCTGTTTATTCCAGATTATCTGGCAGCAGGCCTGTAGCGAGGGGGGGTGGGTGGGTTAGGGGTTCAACCCCCCCCCCCAAAATTCAACCCCTCCCGAATTTTTTTTCTGGTTACGGCCCTGTCTGGCAGACTCAGATAATCCAGTTTAAAGCAAAAAGAAAACAGCCACAACCTGGGATCAGATCCTGGGATAAAGTGTCTGTCTGGAAGAGCCCTTCCACACAGCCATGTGACCCATAATATCAAGGCAGATAATCCACAATATCTGATTTGAACTGGATTATCTGAGTCCACACTGCCATATAACCCAGTTCAATGTGGATTTTATACAACTATGTGGAAAATCCAGATTTTCTGCTTTGAACTGGGTTATCTGGCAGTGTAGATTTATATAATCCAGTTCAAAGCAGATAATGATAATCTGGATTATATGGCAGTGTAGAAGGGGCCTGAGACAATGCAACTTGCTCAGTGTGGTTTTCCATGGTTGAGCAGGAACTCAAACCTTGAATCCCAAGAGCCATAATCATTCCAACACAGAAATCACTGCAGCACATTGGCTCATTTTATGGACCTTTATTTCAGTCATTCTGCAAACCGCGTGATTCTTTTGTTTACTCGTCGGTCTGCTCCATAAAGCACCAGTGTTTACAGTAGGAAAAACTTCAACAAATAAAGAGTTTGCCAACAATATTTTTCATTCCAGGGAAAGCGACACCTGTTGGAAATTCAGCTACCTTTCAAAGCAGGTTTTGGACAGCTCCCAGAAGCCTCATCTGTCTTGAATAATGTTCAGGCATTCTGGGAAATGAAGTCCACAAGTGCCGAATGGAAGCCGATCGAGGAATCATGCATTCCCAAAATGCACCGCGAACGTCCAGCGGTAGAGAGACACTCCTTCACTTCGCCTGACTACTATCCCGGTGCGCTTTGCGCCTAAATGACAAAGGTTCTTCAAGGACACTGCCGCGCAAAGCACGCTGGGAACTGTAGTCGGGGATTCAAACAAGGACTGCAAATACCGTCTTCTCGCCATTCCATGCCTCGGTTGCCTCTTGTCCCGGCCTTGCCCAATTATATTTATAACCCCCTCCCCTCTCGAAAATAAAGTGGTTTACCTTACCGGCTTGAATCCATGGACGCCTCGCAGCACCTCTTTACCCCTCACTTCAGCTCTCCCACCGAGAAGAACGAGCGTCTCCGTAACTATAGCAACCAACATACAGTGAAGTCTCGCGAGACTTGACCCATCCATTCACAGCATCGTGTAATCACATACTGCAGATGTAGAAGATCATAAGGAAAGGATGCTTCATGCGTAGCGTTGCATTATATTGGATTTTTAAACCGTTTTCCCTGGACAACTCTTATGTTTCTATAGCTTTCTAATTTTATTATTTCTGTCTTCTATTTCCCTGTTTATCCTTAGCTATGGATTCAGCCATCAACATGGCTTGAAAACTTTTTTAAAAAATCAGCAAACAAACTCCGATTTTTGCCATTTTATACAAGGGGCACCATGCCAGACTAAAATGATCAAGGGTCTGGAGAACAAGCCCTATGAGGAGCGGCTTAAAGAGCTGGGGATGTTTAGGCCGAAGAAGAGAAAAATGAGAGGAGAAATGATAGCCATGTATAAATATGTGAGAGAAAGTCATAGGGAGGAGGGAGAAAGTTTGTTTTCTGCTGCCCTGGAGACTAGGACGCGGAACAATGGCTTCAAACTACAAGAAAGGAGATTCCATCTGAACATTAGGAAGAACTTCCTGATTGTGAGAGCCATTCAGCAGTGGAACTCTCTGCCCCGGAGTGTGGTGGAGGCGCCTTCTTTGGCAGCTTTTAAACCTTGACTGGATGACCATCTGTTGGGGGTGCTTTGAATGCAATTTTCCTGCTTCTTGGCATGCGGTTGGATGGTCCATGAGGTTTCTTCCAACTCTATGATTCTATGATTTGATTATGGATGCATCTACACTGTGAATTGCCATGACTCAATGTTATGGAATAATCATGGGAGTTGTCGTTTTGGAAGGTCTTTAGCCTTCTCCGCCTTTAGCCCTCGTTCTTCACCAAACTGCAAGTCTCAGGATCCCATAGCATTGAGCCACAGCAGTTCACGTGGTGTCAAACTATAAGTAAGTAAAACTTTATTTATATCCCGTCCCATCTCCCCATGGGCTCACAACATAAAAAGGCAAATATTCAAGGCCATAAAAATGTTGGAGGAACCAACTGTCTCAAGTCTCCTCTATGTCTGCTTTGTAATACATCGCTTTATAACCTGAAGTATATGCCTAATTTGATTTGCAGTATCCTTATCTCTATATACCTAAAGCAGTAGGAGGGGCTGCAGGTCATGTGACTGACTCGGTGACAGTTTAGACTGTTCAGGTTTAAAACAGGATTTATTTATTTATCGTGTCAGGAGTGAATTGAGGGTACAGTTAAAATCCATTTAAAAACAGAAACGTTTTTAAAGAGGAACTTTAAAAAAGGATGACAGAGAATGTCAGTTGAGGAATGACCGTTAGAGAAATGTGTTGTTCCTTGAATGAGCTTGAGTATAGTATTCTGTCAGAGTGCAGAAGCTGATGTTAGGAAGTTAGAAACTGCTGAAGCTTGTTTTTTTTTTTTTTAAGTAAATTCATATTAAAAAGGACTAATCTCTGATCTCCTTTGGGAGGGAATTCCAGAGGTGGGGGCAATTGCAGAGAAGGCCCTCTCTGTTGTCCTCACCAAGTGAGTTTAAGATGGAGGTGGGACTGAGATAAGGGCCTCCCATGATGAACAGTGTCCAGCCAGGTTCATATGATGAGAGGTGGTCTGGACCTGAACCGTTTAGGGCTTTAAAGGTAACGACCACCACTTTAAATTTTGCCCAGTAGCAAACTGGGAGCCAGTGGAACTGCTGTAGCAAGCAAGTTGTTCTCTCCCTGTACAGTGCTCCCATTCATGACCTGGCTGCTGATCTCTGAACCAGTTGAAGCTTCTGAGCGCCCTTTAAAGGCAGCCCCACGTAGAGCACATTGCAATAGTCCAATCAAGATGTAACTAAGGCTTATACTACCATGGTCAGATCCGGCACCTCAAAGTACAGGCGCAGTTGGCGCACAAATTTTAGTTGTGCAATGGCACCCCTGGCCACTACTGAAACCTGAGGCTCTAAGGTCGGCGATGGGTCCAGGATCATCCCCAAGCTGTGTACATGACTTCAGGGGGAGTGTAACCCCAATCCAGTACAGGTTGTATCTCTATATCCTGATCTGCCTTATGACCAACCAGGAGTATCTCTGTCTTGTCATGATTTAATTTCAATCTGTTCGCCCTTATCCAGTCCATTACTGTTGAGAGGTATTGATTCAGGACCAGAATGTCATCCTTGGCTTTTGGTGGAAAGGCGTAATAGAGTTGGGTGTCGTCTGCATAAATATGACACTCCAAAACGCTGGATGATCTCTCCCAGCAGTTTCATGTAAATGCTAAACTGTATGCGTGACAGAATAGATCCCCGAGGGATCCCAATGGCCAAAGGGTCGAACAGGAGTCACTCAGCACCACCTTCTGGGTTGGGTCCCCCAGGAAAGAACAAAGCCACTGTAAAACAGTGCCTCCTAATCCCAACCCAGCCAGACAACCCAGAAGGATACCATGGTCGATGGTATCAAACACCACTGAGACAAGAAATGACAAGAAATGATCTTTCCAGTAAAGTTATATTCTTATATAGCCCATCTTTTTATCAGTAATGAAACTCAAGGCAGTTAACATTAAAAAAATACAGATTAAATTTATACAAGTTTCTATAAAAGCATAAAAGTAAAAACTTGAAAACTAATTAAAGATAGAAATATTAAAAACAAATGTATTAAAAGGCAACACACAAACCTTTAAAAAGGGGAGGATGCGGATTTCAACAGTAAAATTCAAAATCCTAATTTCTACAAAGTTCCATTGCAAGTTTCTTTAAAAAATCTCGGTGTTGCTTAGAAAATCATTTGTTCAGCATTGATCTCAGTTTCTGTTCAGTACTGGGTTCCCATCTTCAGCCTTCAGAATCCAGCACAGTGCTTACCACACCGTTATACATGATGCCCTCTTGTGGCTTTTCTCGTAAACGAAGAACCAGGTAACTATAATAATTACAGATCCAAGCAAATGCATACGGGATTGTATGTGTTGTATATGTTCCAAGTCTAGAAAATTTACTTCAAAAATGGACACAAAAGACTTGGGCCCACCTATCCAGAGATCAATGTATGGTAAGTACTGCACCTTAACTCTTATCAAAGAAGGGAACCATCCCTGTCTGAATAAAGTGGCAAAAGGCAAGAGCTTGGCCTATTCTATAACCTAAAAGAAGCATCAACCCCTACTTTTTCCATTGCAAGAAATGTCTGGATGGAAAAATGACATTGGTGACAGCATTGAGGAAGGCTGGCCTCTGAATGGCCTCTGGGGTGCTTTCCCCTCTACAAAATGGTTCTCAATTTATCCAGTCCTTACTTTTGGCCACAAAACCTGCCCTTTATGTATACAGAAATGTGTATAATAATTCAGCGTCAGTGGTTCAAAGAATTACTATTATGTTTATTTATATTCTGCTTTTCTTTCCATACAGAGACTCAAAGTGGCTCACAACTAAAAGCATTGTAATCCAACTTAAAATTATAGTATTGCGATAAGTATACGGCAACAAGCTCTGCAGCTACTTTAGCAGTCCAAAACTCTTAATACGTCAGAAAGGTTGGTGCATGGCTTATAGGCCTCTATTGCTAGTTTTTCCAAATGGCCCAGCACACTTGGGTACTCCTTCAGTTGACCGGGGAATAATAGGGAATCCTCAGCTACAAAGTGTGAGGCTGTGCTGTTTTCAGGTTGATTATAAAAATGACCCTTTTCACAAAAAATACTGAGAAAAGCATGCTAACTGATTATTGATTATAGGATTGATTATGTAGATATATTTATAGTGATTTAGGTGGAGATGTAACCTTATATAGTAAGATGTATAACCATCATTAAGAAAATCAGAAGCCAATGCGAGTTCACTTCCTTGTGCTTTTTCTTTGTTTGGATTATTTTCTTCTTTTAATGTACTGGAAAGCTGCTGGTATTTTTTTAAAAAGAAAAGTTACCTTTCCCATGCTGCCCAAGCTGAAAAACAAAGGAACAGAATCTCTCTGTGTATGTATTATATTCAAGTAAGCAGGCAGCCTTGTTTGCTCAATATGGATAGAAACGTACCATTCCTTGCAGCAGGAATACAGAATTTAAAAAGCACTTCCTCTGGAAAAGGCAGTCACCCATATAAGAAAGTTCACTGCCACCAATGCAAATATTAAATCAGTGGTCCCCAAACTAAGGCCTCCAAGATCATTTACTTAGCCACCACCCTAAACTTTAGACTTAGGGTCGTCCTAAGTCTGAAATGACTTAAAAGCACACAACAACAATCCTAATTAAATTGACTATCTCGTTAGCCAAAAGCAGGCCCACACTGCCCATTGAAATACTGGTACATTTATGTTACTTAAAATTGTTCTTCATCTTAAATATTGTCCTTTTGAGTTTTTTGCATTACAAATTAAATATGTGTTCATAAGAATTCATTCATTTTTTTAACTATAGTCAGGTTCGCCAACTGTCTAAGGGACTGTGAACTGACCCTCTGGTTTAAAAATTTTAGGACCTCTGTATTAAATATACATGCTAAAACTATAAATTATAGCATGTTGCAGAAACAAACAAACCCAATATATGGAGGGACATAAGAGACCTGGGTTGTTGTAAGTTTTTTAGGCTGTATGGCCATGTTCCAGAAGTATTCTCTCTTGATGTTTTGCCTGCACCTATGGTAGGCATCCTTCAGAGGCTGAGGACCTCACAACAACAAACCAGTGATTCTGGTCATGAAAGCCTTCAACAATACATAAGAGACCTGATTTGCTATCTTTCCACCTGAATGAGCAAATACTTTAGCAAGGTAGTTGATGTGATGGGAGGCCTATGTATCCCCTCATAGTCTCATTTAGCCCCCCTATTCTACTACATCAGGAATTAATGCACACACCCAGATTTGGGTCATAATGCAGTAGGAAATGTCTCCATTAGAATTATGGGGATTTCTCCAAATGCCAGAATCCACAGAATTTAAGTTTAGAGAAAAAAATGTTGATGCCCATTCAAATATGATAAGTTTCAAGTAATTTAATTACCAAAAATCTGAGAAGCAACATTTAAGAGGTACAGATTACATTTATTGAAATATTTACAAATAGTTCCCACTATATTGGCCATTTCCACTGATCAGCAGGAGGCTCTTCAACCAAAGGTTCCCATGGTCGCCACTGTGCCATCTTCCTGGCTAAAGTGAGTTCACTTTCAGCCTGTGGACAAAATGTAACTTTAAAATCCTTTCCATGCTATGACCAAATTAGCTAATATACATTTTGTTGAGTTTGAGAATTCACCTAACTTTAAAGATATTTTGAGAATAAATGCACATCAAGATGCAGATTTTAGTTAACACTGCTCCTGACTAAATTTTAAATTGTAGACCATGTATGAATTGCCCCAATTTGTCAGCATGTAGTGCATCCAAGCATGCACCTATTATTTAAAACAGCCTGCTAATCATAGCAGGGCAAGAACAAGAATCTTACAATGTTAATTTTTACTCATTATATCTTAGGATGGATCTACACTGCCCTATACCCCAGGATCTGATCCCACTTTATCTTCTTATCCCAGATTATCTGGCAGTGTAGAGTCACATAGCAGGGAATCTGGGATTAGATCCTGGGATATAGGGCAGTGTAGATCCAGCCAAAGTAATACCTAACCATGAGTGCTCACTGATCACAATGTAATGTGTCTCTATATTTAAAATATTTCTATATTTCTTGATTTCTTGTTGAGAGTAAAAAATAGTACAAATCATGTCTGCTATAGTCAGAGAAATAATGAGATCTTTGCTTAATACAGTACTATCTTACCTGCAAAATCACTTCTTCTATCTGCCCACAGTTGATTTTATCTTCCAATTTGTCCACATTCGGTTCCTGCAAGTTTAAAATCTAATTAATGAACTGGATTTCTTCCATGATGTATATAAGTAATATAGTCTTGATTCTTTTTGAAATGAAAATTACACCAAAATGTATTTTCTGAGTTCTATTTCACATATAGTAATATATTTTAAGAAAGTTGAAAGACTGAAAAAAGTGATTATTGCAGCCAAGTGAGCCTACTGATCATATCTGTAACTAAGTTACAGCTCTATATCTCAAATATCAGAACATTTTTGTCCACAACAGACAAAAAAAATCACCTACCACTGAAGATTAAAATATCTGAAACTAACAAGAGAGTTCTGCACACTTCTTTGGTTCTGGTATTTGACTTGCACTTTCCAATGTTGCACATTTGTGTGTTCAATGTGTGTTATACTTTTTAAACCCATTTTAAGTGAGAAAAAATAGTTCTAATAATAGTTCGGATAGTTCTAAATGAAGCTCAAAGTAATTATATGTTAAATCTAGTCTGAAACACTTAGAAGACACCCATGAGGCTGTTTGCTTCTATAAAAATAACTGAAAAAGTATATAATTCCTCATCAAAAATAGGTAACTTACTGAATGGGAATATTTTTAATGGAGAAACATTATCTATTTAATAAGCTTAGAAACACATGAAAGAAGGCATTATTACATTATTTCTAGCATGTAACTTAAGATGCTAAAAACATGTGATGTACTTACTGCTTTCACCATATCGAACCGCTCATTCACAATTTTCTCTGTATATTTCCTATATGCTGCTTCTCTGGGGATTGTGTCCAGAGCAGCAAGAATTTTTGTGTAGAGTATCCTTAGGCGCTGAAAAGATCACATGGTACGAATTAAACAGTAATTTAAAATATATTCCCTACACTAAGTATAAAATAAAGTTCACTGCTTTCTTCAGAGGTAACAACACCAATCAAGGTGTAGGCAAAATGTGATCAACAAGCTACATCCAGCTTCCGAAAACCATTTTGTTTGCCACAGAAATTTAAAAAGTTCAGGTTTTTGGCAGTCATTAACTGCCAAAAACCAGAGCGTGGCCACAGTAGTCCATGCTCTGATTACATCTCGAACAGACTACTGCAATCCATTCTACGCGGGGTTGCCTTTGAAGACTGATCGGAAGCTCCAATTGGTCCAGCAGCAGCCCGCCAGACTGCTAATTGAAGCGGCGTACAGGGAGTACGCAACTCGTGTCACACCAGCTCCACTAGCTGTCAGTCTGCTCCCAAGCACAATTCAAAGTGCTGGCTTTAGCCTATAAAGCCCTAAACGGTTCCGGCCCAGCTTACCTGTCTGAAGGTATCTCCCTCTATGAACATCTTGGATGTTAAGATCATCCAGGGAGGCCCTGCTCTTGGTCCCACCTTCTTTGCAAATGTGACTGGTGGGGACAAGAGACAGGGCCTCCTCAGTGGTGGCCCCTCGCCTATGGAACTCCCTCCCCAGCAAAATCAGGTCAGTGCCCTCCCTCTTGGCCTTTAGAAAAAAAGTAAAAACTTGGTGATGGGACCAAGCTTTTGGATAGTCAGCAATACAAGGAATGATCAGTGATTATGTACCATTGATATTTACCATTTGGAACGGCCTTGGACCATGATTTCTGGATTATGTGATTTTAACGTTTATATAAATATGATTTTAACTCCACGGTTTAATTGTCTAAACGTTGTAACGTTTTTATGAACTATTTGATAGTTATATGTTATGGTTGCTCTATGTTAGGTTTTATATGCATGTGAGGCATTAAATTTGGCCATAAATATGTTGAGTCTCCCATGGGGTGAGAAAAGTGGTATACAAGTGAAGTAAATAAATAAATTAACTTCTAGGACCATCATGTACAGTTTCACGGGCATTATATTAGAAAGACCAAAAGTTTGTTTTTGTTTTTATATCCATTTCAGATAAGCAGATATCTTATACTTACATCATGAGGAGTTTCAGAAACTGCTAGTCCCACAAGTCCAGTGGTCTGCAGAGAAAGCAAAAAATACACAACTTACACTGAGTGTATCCTGAATAGTCACTGTGCTTAACCGCATCATCATCATCAACATCAACATCATCACCATATTTATTTGTACCCCACATTTCCCTCAGGAGCGAAACCCAAGGTGGCTCACAAACCGAAAAACCAAACAATTTCTATGGGTGTACATCAGAATGTGTACAAAGGCCTTCTTCATAGGCAATGAATGCACAGTTAACAGGGGATGTGGTTGCTGAGCGTATTAACAGTAGATGTGAGTACCCGAGAGAGCCCGGAACACCCAATTTCTAAAAAGATATTGGGGATAAGGAAATGACAATGTCAGCAAACAACTAGGCTGTATATCAGGATGCATGGGAAAATATAATTCCATCTTCATCTCTGTCCCTTTCATGCAAGGATGAGACTTTGAGAGAAATATATTTTAAAGCAGATAACACATTATGTAGCAGTAGTAAGAGCTAAACTAGTGTTGAACAGAAAATACTGTGGAAGGGGCTTTGATTATGGAGGAAAAACACAATAATCTGGTGCACCTCAAAAAAGCATTTATTAAAGCATGTGTTGTCATGTACCAGTAGTCAAAGCAGACCTGTGTGTGTGTACACACATAATTCAGATTGGGTCGTAGGTTTTTCGGGCTGTATGACCATGTTCTAGAAGCATTCTCTCCTGACATTTTGCCTGCATCTATGACAGACATCCCCAGAGATTGTGAGATTGTGATTGTATGCTTTTGGGAGGTCACACTGTTTTGAGCTGTTTTACTTATTTACACATTTGTTTAGCTGTTTTCCTTGTTTAAAATGCCATGTACCTTTAACAGTGCTAAATAAAAAAATGGTAATCATAACACAGATAACACAAACAATATAACTGTTACAGGATGTGGTACATTTCTTTTGCTACAGGAAACCTACCCAAAGAGGGTGTGTTAAGCCTTTTGGGGCAGGGTACATCTCCCATTCTGGTCTTAAGGGCTGGGAGATGCTCTGCGATTATAATGGGAGAGAAAAGTGCCCAGAGCTTTACTGGAATATTAGCGTATATTCCTGGTGTTGCCTGGGTGTCATTGGGACCACTGCCCCAATTCTTTCATCCCTTGTTTCTTCTTTCCTTCCCCTCATACCTTTTCCCCATTCCTTCTGACTTCCCTCCTTTTTCTTTTTCTTTCTCCCCCTTCCTTTTTCTTTCCCTTCTTTTTCTCTTTCTTTCTTTCCCTCCTGTTCTCCTTCTCCAGCTGTGAGACAGCCTCACAATGTCTCCATGTCAACTTGGCTATCTTTGTGGCTCTTTCCTCCTTTCCCCTCATACAAATGTCACCTTACTTTCCCAATGACATCACAGAGGGCCACTTCACCTAGTAACCGCCAACCCAGTGACATCAAAGGGGCTACTTCACCTAGCAACAGCCTTTGTGGGGCAGGCAGGCACACTTTGGCTTGTATCTATATAAATAAAAATGTAATGTTTGTGGGATTAACAGAACTCAAAAACCATTGGACGAATTGACACCAAATTTGGACACAAGACACCTAACACTCAAAAAAATGATCTTGTCATTTGGGAGTTGTAGTTACTGGGATTCATAGTACACCTGCAATCAAAGAGCATTCTGAACTCCACTAATAATGGAATTGAATCAATTTTGGGACACAGAACTCCCATGACCAACAGAAAACACTAGAAGGGTTTGGTGGGTAATGACATTGAGTTTGGGAGTTGTAGTTCACCTACATCCAAAGAGCACTGTGGACTCAAACAATGATGGATCTGGACCAAACTTGGTACGAATATTCCATATGCCCAAATATGAACACAGATGGAGTTTGGGGGAAATAGACCTTGATATTTGGGAGTTGTAGTTACTGGGATTTATAGTTCACCTACACTCATTCTGTACCCCACCGATGAGAGAATTGGGGCAAACTTCCCACACTGAACCCACATGACCAACAGAAAATACTTAAGGCCATCCAGTCCTACTCCCTACACCAGGGCAAGAAAATGTAATGAAAGCCCTCCTAACAAAGAGCCATCCAGCCATAGATATAGATAGATAGGTAGATATGATTCACACACACACAGAAATATAGTATCATAGAGATCCCTACAGAAGGACAATGATATGTTATATGTTCCAGAGTAGGCATACCAATCTCCACATCAACACTGACAAAGAAACAGCAAGAAATAGTGTTTACCCACAAGCATAAAGACATTACATATATTAGAAACCAACACTTTCGAATTACTTTATTTTCCAGATCACCAGGCTAGGCCACAGCAACACGTGGCAGGGGACGGCTAGTATATATAGATAAATCCCTCTTTGAGAGGGCTTAAATGACCAAATAATCTAGAAATAGAGAGGAAAAGGAGGAGAGCTTCAATCTGCGAACAGCTCCATTGGAAACTCTGAACTTCCTATTTAGGTATTTAGCCTTCTCTGCCAAAGAGTGCTGATGCTTCACCAAACCACAAATCTCAGAACTGTATAGAATTGATCATAGGAGTTAAAGAGGTGTCAAACTGCATTAATTCTAGAGGCCTTTGGATAGTCACACACTCTCAGCCTCAGAGGAAGGCAAAGCCAACCACCCTTCCGCATAAACCGAATGAAAACACAACAATAAAGACACCGCCACCATATGGGTAGAGAAACTAGGCCGCACCCCTCTCACCTTCTTCAGGAGGCCAGCCATAGCAACTCTCCCTGGGACTGACGCCGGCCAACCTCAAGCATCCGTCATCACACGCAGCTGCTGCGCCTGCGCAAGAGGGAAAGGGAAAGCAACACGAGCGAGTACTAGTAGAGGACAAGGGCTAAGGGCAACCGAGTGCGCATGCGCATTATCCTCATTGTGGCACCAGCGAACCAAACGTCCCGGAAAAATGGATTTGTTCTTCTAGGTGCGCGTGCGCACACAAGCAGGCCCCGCGAGCGCTCTCAGATTGCGTCATTCGAGGATAGAATTGACCGCCGCGAATCAGAAGTGAGTAGGAGGGGCCTTTTCGCTGCAGGTAAAGCCGACTCGAAGACATTTGGACTCCAACTCCCAGAAGCCCAAGCCAGTTTGGCCAATCGTTAGGAATTCTGGGAGGTGAAGTCCAAAATATTTAAAGGCGCAATGGTTGGGACCCAAATGATGCACAACACATACAATCAGAAAGGGTGTTTTTTTAAAATTTCCTTTACCATAATAAAGGAAATGAAATGAAATGAAATCTTTTATGGATCGGGAATAAAATAGAATTCTTCTTTGAGAAGGAAGGGCAGTTTTCTTGTGTTGTCAAAGGCTTTCATGGCCAGAATCACAGGGTTGTTGTGAGTTTTCCAGGCTGTCTGACCATGTTCTAGGAGCATTCTCTCCTGACGTTTCGCCCACATCTATGGCAGGCATCCTCAGAGGTTGTGAGGTCTGTTGGAAACTAGGCATGAGAGATTTATATATCTGTGGAATGTCCAAGGTGGGAGAAAGACCTCTTCTGTGCTTGAGGCAAGTGTGACTGTTGCAATTGGCCATCTTGATTAGCATTGAATGGTATTGCAGCTTCAAAGCCTGGCTGCTTCCTGCCTCGGGGAATATTTTGTTGGGAGGTGTTAGCCGGCCCTGATAGTTTCATGTCAGGAATTCCTCTGGGGTTTTTTATTGTTCTATGCAACTGTGCACCTCCATTTCCAAGTTCTCTCTAAGTAATCCCTAGACAACTAATCAAAAATTAGTCATTTATTGTGTATTTCTTCCATCCCCTTCACTATGTAACCAAACAGTCCACCCTGAAAGTGTCTTGGATATCTGCCACAAATGGAAAAAATGAATACATGATGGAGAAAAAGCGTAAGAACTAAAATGGTTAACTAAAGTAGGAAGGAATACTGTTAAAATAAAAACAATAATAAATATGTGTGTGTATGTTAATGTATTTATTTATATATGTGTATATGCATGTTGCACTTGTTTCCAAAAACTACTACATCCTTTTGAATACATTTTACAAGAATTTAAAAAATGTGCTGAGGCTATTCATAATTTTGCTGTGAAATGCAATTTTCCACGCCCTGTATCAAAATGATTTGATACATTTTGATAGTTTTGATCTGTATGTAATATTCTGTGCCTGTCCAACAATGTGCTACCACCTATCACTCATTTTTTAGTTCAAATTTTAATTGCAGTTCGAATAAAAACCAAAGTGATTCTGTAACAAAATACTCTCTCTCCTTGTGACAAAGGGTGCATCTGTAATATAGGATTAATATAATTCGATACCACTTTAACGGACATGGCTCCACACTCATTTTTTTGTATTTTGTATTTTTGGACACAAACCCCACATGTGTATACACACAATGTCAGAGTATAGCATTCACATAAATAATAATAATAATAATAATAATAATAATAAACTTTATATATCTATATAGACATAGAAATATATACTCACACATACAGTTGGCTCTCTTTACTGATCCTACATTCACTGGTTCAACCAGCAAAGCTTGAAAATATTTCCACCCCCAAATTTCAGATTTCAAACTTTTATTATATGTGTGTGTGTTTTATTACACCATTGTATGTAATGGGACTTTAGCATCTACAGATTTGCATATCCACAGCTGGTTTTTGTCCCTGTGGAACCAAGTTCCTGCAGATACCAAGGACTCCCCATATAATGCACAGTAGACTCACAGTTAACCAAAACTCTCAAGCAACCAGCTAAAAGGCTGATGGCTGAGGAAAAGGGAGAAGTTGCTCCTGGCATTTCCAATTGTTTCTATTTGTAAGATTTTTAAAATTTCTGAAAAATTGATGGATGAGTGGATTTTTCTGAACATTGGCAGGAATGATGCCCTGCACCACTTCTATCGCTGTGGAGAAATTCCAGAGGGTATCTCCTCTGTTTTTGTTTTTTTAAAATGTTGGGCAAAACTTTAAAATTTCCTAAAAATCTGCAAATCTTTCTGAAACTTGGAGGGGGTGCCCTCGTTATGGTGTGTCATTGTAGAGAAATTCGAGGAGATACCTCATGTATCCTAAAAATCGGTGGATGAGTGAAACGTTCTCAAACTCGGGCAACTTAGAGTGGTAACTGTGTGCTACAATTCTAGCAAGTTTCATCGTGATAGCCCTAAAACAGAGGGAGGGAGGAGACCATTAGTGCGAATGGGCGAATAACGCAACGAAAAACTAACGTCTTTTTTAGAACTGCGTAATAGATCCGATACAGACCCCTTATGACTTAAGATTTTTTTCTAAACACTTTAGAAACAAAACAAGGGTTGTGCAAAGTTTGTCAAGACAAATGAAGCAATTCCACACACCCCTATTTATTTGGCATCAACCAGTCCTCCTGGATAAATGCCAAAGTGTTTTAAAAATTTTAATTTTTGTACTGGCCCAGCCCATTGTGTTCATTTGTAGTGGTTTAATGCTTTGATTTTATATTGTTGTGCTGTATATTTACATTTTGTATTTTTGTATTTTATGTTATTTTATTTTCTGATTTTCTGTTGTGTTTTTGTGTTATATTGTGTTTCTGTATTGATGGGTGTGGCCTCATGTAAGCCGCCCCGAGTCCCCTTTGGGGAGATGGTGGCGGGGTATAAATAAAGTTTATTATTATTATTATTATTATTATTATTATTAAATGAGAGTCTACTGTATATGTCTTTCATGATAGTACTCTCACCCTGGGGGCAGGTGAAGATGGGCCAGGACTTGAAGTTTGAAAACCCTACAATGAACCCAATGTGCTGCTAGAACCATAGTGTTTTGTATCATAATTCCAGTCTTGAAGGAACTGACATACAGCAAAGTGCTTAAGATCATGTGCATTAATATCATGTCAGATTGAAATATGATGTCTAAGTCAGGGGTCCTCAAACTTTTTAAACAGAGGGCCTCAGACTGTTGGAGGGCTGGATTATAATTTGAAAAAACCATGAATGAATTCCTATGCACACTGCACATATTTTATTTGTAGTGCAAAAAACACTTTAAAACAATACAATAATTAAAATGAAGAACAATTTCAACAAATATAAACTTAATAGCATTTCAATGGGAAGTGTGGCCTGCTTTTGGCTGATGAGATAGGAGTGTTGTTGTTGTTGTTGTGTACTTTCAAGTTGTTTCAGACTTAGGCTGACCCTGAGTGAGGGCCGGGTAAATGACCTTGGAGGGCCATATCCGGCTCCCGGGCCTTAGTTTGAGGACCCCTGGTCTAAGTCATTTCGTGGGTCAAACTTCATGGGTTCAAGTAGCTTCCATCCATCAAAGCACACTAAATGGCATTTGGAATCTAGCTATGGGTAATCCTTTCTGTCATATTAATGAGAAATCTTACAAGTTTAATTAGAATTAGAAATGTAATTAAGCTCATAAACCATTACCTTTCTTAAAGAGCCAATTGGCAGAGGCTACTGCCATTCGGACCTCAGGTTACTTTTGACAAGGTTTTAGTGCAACAGTGTCATACTTTCCTGCAGGCTGCTTGTGTTTCAGTTGTATAAGGTCAGACCTTAATTTAACTACCAACTGTGTTGCTAATTTTAGAAATGCCACATGACCTGTCCCTTACTAGGCCCATGCCTGCATGTCTGAAATTCAGGACCCAATAAAACAATAGCAAGATTTGGAAAAGGTGAGAATCTTTCTTATGGGTGCCTTCTCAATTAATCTAAAGGCAGTGACTTGAAATTAGGAATGCTATGTAAGGTGTAAATCCAAATATAGATTGTAATTAATAATAGAGTGTATAGCTGCAAATAACCTGCATATTTTTTCCTCTAATTATGAAAAAACTGTTTGGTTTGCTTATGTGCTCATTGGCTGTGCTTAATGAATTTAATCTTTGCCACATTAAAAACTTGTCCGGCTTGCCAAAAGTGAGTATATTCTCAGTACCTTTCTTTGAGTTTTTAAAAATCACTATGGTAATTTTTCTCTCTCATTGACATCTGTAGACTTAGAAGTGTTAAATTTTAGAGACCAGTGTGAAATAATGTTGTTTAATGTATATACTTTTTAAAATACCACCTAGAACTAAAAATGAAGCCGTAGCCTTTTAGGTTTGCAGTTGTATTTCTGTGGTTAGGAAGGTGAGGGAATGAGCTGATAAAAGTGTATGTCATTGGAGGATTTACCTGTCCTTGACAAAAGAGTGTTGATTGCTCCGATGATGTGTCTCTATGAGTATGTGAAGGAGATGATAGTCAGAAGAGATGAGTCATCTGTGCTTCTTCTGCTGGAGGGAGGAGATCAAAATGTGAATGTGGAAAGAACAAATCGCACTTTCAGCAAGCCAGAGGAAGACACGCAAGAAGCAGAGACTGAGCTCTGCAAACATTTCAGTATATTGGTTTTTTCAAACTCATGTTGGAAGAGTTGAAATGGGTGTACTGTTGGAACATTAGAGACAAATATTATGAAATGACCATATGCCTCTAATACCTTTCTCCTGATGGAAAGCAAATGCACCAGTTGTGCCCATACCTTGAGAAGCCAGACTTGGCCACATTGTGCCAGTTGCACCCATACCTTGAGAAACCAGACTTGGCCACAGTGGTCCACACTCTTGTTACATCCCGAATAGACTACTGCAATGCAATATATATGGGGTTGCATTTAGAGACTGTTTGGAAGCTCCAGGTGGCGGCTCAACAGGTGGCAGCCAGATTTCTCACCGCAGTGGCGTACAGGGATTATACAATCTCCCTGTTGCATCAGCTCCACTGGCTGCCTGTCTACTACCGAGCACAATTCCAAGTGCTGGCTTTAGCCTATAAAGCCTTAAACAGTTCTGGACCAGCATACCTGTTCAAACGCATCTCCCTCTATGAACCAATTTGGAGATTAAGATGGCCTGGGGAGGCCCTGCTCTCAGTCCCACCTCTTTTGCAGGCGCAAGTGGTGAGGATGAGAGATAGGACCTTCTCAGTGATGGTCTCTCAGCTCTGGAACTCCCTCCACAGCGAAACCAGGTCAGGTCTCTCTCTCCTGACCTTCAGAAAGCATGTAAAATATGACTTTTGGGACCAAGCCTTTGGCCAATAGTGCAGTGCAAAACATGATGATGGAAAATGTGCAATGAGAATTGGAATGGCTTTTTGACTATGGTCTCGGATTGCATGGTTTTAATAATGTTTATTTTTTATTTTAAATGCATGTTTTAATGTATATGTTTATTTTATATCTATTGTGTATATGGCATTGAATTGTTGCCTTTGTAAGACCGCTCTGAGTCCCCTTCGGGGTTGAGAAGGGCAAGGTATAAATACTGAAAATAAATAAATAAATCCACAGCTTGGAAGTTAGAAGTTGCAGAATAGATCATTTATTTTTTGGCCATTTGAAACCATTATAAATATTACAATATAGTTATAATAAAATGCCATGTCATATTATATTAAGGTTACATTGAGCCAAAATACACATATGCTGCTCAGTAAACTAGTAAACAGAAAGGTGTAGAAGTGGGGAATTAATTACAAAGCTTGGTGTCTCAGAAGTCTAGGTGGACTAGTCAATTTCTTGCATCATTTACCTTAAGTCCAATGTCTCTTTTGCATCAATGTTGAATCCTGTGGGATTGCCAATTCCTAGTTAAAGGTTTTTGAACCTAAATGATGTCTGGAACTAAGACCTTTGGGCAGGGAATATCAATCAGAATACGTTCTTCAAAGAAATGAGAACATGTTTGACATTCTAAGAGGTTCATTGATGGAGCCTAGGATTTATAGACTACATCTTCGCAACATGACTTTATGATGTACCTTACCTGCTAATAGGTTGGCAGCTATACTGTGTACTGTGCCAATTAAAATGTAGCAGTTTAGTTGCTGAAAGTAATTCATTGAAGCCTATGGGGATTTGTCTTTCTGTTAAACTTAACTTAAGGTTAGGAAACAGGTTTCTACTTTGGAGTAGAATAACTGTAGTACTAAAATACCATGAAATGGGTTTGTGTCATGAGCTCTACATATTTGTGGTGAACGCTAATATTCCCAGTATTTATATTACATGTTTCACAGAGAGAATCAAATCTATGTTATTCTTACCCAAGATGTAGAAACTAAATATGAGGGAGAAGCTCAAGTATCCCTTATCAAAAATTTGAAGATGCTATTAGCATTTTGCTTGGAACAATTTGTTTGATTGTGTTGAATAGAAAGATTGCCTTTCATGTCACCTAATCTTGTTTAAAGTTTGTGTGCAGCATGAAAGGTTTGGGAATGCATATTTTACATTCTGCCGGCCTTTTATAGGCATTCTAACTGGCTGTAGTGAAATTTTCAAAAATGTTCATGTTAAAATGTTCCTCTTCTACTGAAAGGGGGCAGAAGAGGCACTGTAAATCCTATGTCTGATTACCTGCGTCAAGCCTTGTTTCTCAGTACTAAAAATGGAGAGATTTATGACCACGTAAAAGCTATATTTATTTGTGGAAATAACTATGACCAAGAGCTGATGGCCAGAATGAAGTCATATGTTGGTTTCCCTAGAAAGGAAAGGGATATTGTGAACAGTTCTTTATTTGTTAGAAAGGGCCCTTCGCATATGCATAGTTCCACCCTTCAGAACTAGACAATTCAAATCTTGCATTTATCAGATAATTTTGCATGATCCTTGAAACTGAAGGATGAACAACTGTGAGTAGAATGCAACAGTTAGTCAATTTTGTTGTACGAATTGTTCAGTCTGTTAGACTGAGATTCTTTAGTTCTAGTTGTAAGCTTCCCCAAGTACTTTTGGAAAGGGGGCGGGATATAAATATTATTTATTTATTATTAATTTATTATATTTATTGATAATTGCTTGGACTGCCATGTACAAATAAGAGCGAAACATGGGGCCCAAGAATATGACTTCACATGCGATGCATCTATCCTGTAATCTCTGTTTCCTAATCTAAAATTATGATACTTTATTTTTTTTATTACACTCTTGTGTGTGTAATACAATTCATGTTGCTAGTTGACTTATGGCAAATTCCATAGGGTTTCCTTAGATTAAAAAATCTCCAGATGTTGTTTTGCCATTTCCTTTTTCTGAAGGATAGCCTACAGTATCTGATATTCATTGGCAGTATCCCATCCTAACCAGGGCTGTTCCAGTCTAGCTTCCAAGAGGTTGTTTATACTAGAGTCACTCCTGGATGTCCAGATGATATCCAGGGACTTCTTAACATGGAATAACCAGGATGAACAGATTTAGCTTCATATTACAGAAAATCAGGAAATGCTTCAGAGTTTCAGGCAAACTGTGAACAGCACGAACCAGTCTTCTATCCACACAGACTGGTGGTGCCATCTCCTTTTCCCTGTGCTTAGCAAAGATGTCTGTGCAACTAGGCAGGACTGAATAGATGCCACATTACCACTGCAGAAGATAGGGGACAAAGCATCTGAACACCTCCACGGCTTCTGAGAATATTTGGTAAGTATAGATGACTGGTTTATGTTGGAGCCGAATTGCAACCCAACACCCTGCCTGAAACTCTGGACTAATTGGTAGGTATAAGTAAGCTCCAGGATCAGTCAGGATATGGTGCCTTGAGGCTATTTAAGGCCTACTCTTATGTGACCATTTATCGCAGTATGTTTTTAGAAATCAACTGTTAATATGACTAAGTTCTCTTTGGCACAATTTGCACAAAAATATGACTTTCTGTTTGTTTTTGCAAGTAGGAAGTAGTTGATTAACCCATACCAGAGAAATGGAAGACAGTGAAGATTCTGAGGAAGACCACCTCACTGACTACGCCATTCAGTTTAGCATCCAAGAGTCTCTTGAAAATCAAAGATATCAACAAACACCCTTGCCCAGTCATGAAACAAGGTATGGAATAGTCTTGTTGCTAAATTAAGAATCTTTGATACTAACATCCCAGAATATTTTAATCCATTTCTTTCATACTAGGGAGCTCTGGCATGGGCTGATCCATGAGGTCATGAAGAGTTGGAAGCAACTGAACGAATAAACAACAGATATTTTTAAAAGAACATATAAAAGTCCTTGAAACAGGGATAAAATCAGTCACAGTTTTTACTAAGCCAGTCTTTTGTTGGTTCTACATAGATTCCACTATCTTTTCTAAACTAATAAGCCCCGTGAACTCTTTGGAAACCATACAATATTTACAAAGAATACTTCTTGCCTACCATTACTCTTTGAGCTTGGAATACAGATGGCACCTTTGAGTTAGTCTTGAGGATCACAATTGGATGACAAGGAGACATTTTGAGCTCCATTGCAGACAAATATTGTAGCCCCTGTATGCATCTACTTTTTGTGTTGACCAAATTGCGTAGACATAGGATCATGTGTTGACAAATTGCATAGACATATGATCACTTCTATCAAAAGCACTCTTGCAATTCTCAAGGTTTAGGCAGTGAGCCATTAGATATATATATGAAATAATAACAGTAGTGTGAAATGTTATTTACATCTTTTTTTATCACCCTCCAATAGGTTTGTTCCAGTCAGCGATCAAAACAGGAAACTTGTAACTGCCATAAGAGAAGGTAACATTATTAAAAGACATCAGTGTTAGGGCAATTGTATTAATGTTGATTGTTGTTGTCATGAATGATCACTTTGATTATCTTTCTTGCATTTAATCCTTATTATTAATTAAACATTTTGTATTTTCCTCATTTCATTCCTACTGTGGTAATAATATTCTTCCTTTCCCCATCTGTTTCTAAACCTGCCTACTGAGGATACAATGGATCCATCTGACACAGTGAGCTGTAATGTATGAAAAATAATAATATGCCAACTAAGTTTTTTATAACCAAGAATCTGCTGTGTAGTTTTAGGGAATTAACTCTTATTATTTGAAAACATGCACTTTCTCAGTCCCTGTGGAAGGGTATATTTACACACATAAGTCTAATACACAGAGAAAGAAGGGTCATTATGGGGAATGAAGGTGCTGGCCTCTCCAAATAAGCATTCTACTCTCCAATTGCATGAAATTTTCTCACTGTTTCCAAACTTCTAGCGTTCTAGTAGCTTAAACCTTCACTTGAGCGCTTAGAAATAGAAATTAGATATCAAAAGAAGACAAAGTTATAATGGAAACAAATGGAAGTGTTCTAAGGACCTCATCAGGCGGGGCTTGGGAAGTATCCTATAATGCTTCCTCACCAGTCCATGACTGATAGGCACTCTGCCCATCCCACGACATCACTGGACTTCCGGCAGAGGAGCTGCCTACAACTGAAGCGTACAACGTTTCTCTTCCAACATGGAAACCTGCTCATGTTGTGCTGGCTCCAATAGAGCCAGCACAGATACTTGCCATTCGGCAATGCTTCCCATGTGTGATGGGAAAAGCATTGCAGTGGTATGCCCCTCTGACCTTCTGTTCGGTGGCAAAGCCAGGCAAAGCAAGATGCTTCACCTGGCTCATATGATAAAGGCATCATGTCACTCTCTGCAATGCTAGAAATTTGGGAATTGAAGAAAAAACAATTTGGATACAGAATTATTTTGTGGTGCAGATAATGCCCCATAGCTGGTGCACACTACAACTAAGACTTGTTCCTAACATTAGTGGTTACAGAATTGACTGTTCCTGATATTCCTGTTGCACAGTCATTTATGAATTGACACACTACACACAGCAACATTAGTATATGCCTACATTATGTAAATGCTGAACAAAACTTCGGCCATTGTCTTCAAGACATTGCAATACTTTTCTTCCATTGAAAGGCAACAGTGGCTTCTCTTGATCACAAATTGATGGGGTTTTTTTTTGACCACATAAGTCAATTAATCTTTTCTTTAGGTCAAGTGTATGATCTTCAAACATATGTGAAATGCAAATATGCTTTGGATGAAGCTGATGAGAGAGGTTGGTTTCCTATACATGAAGCCGCTGCCCAGCCAATTCAGCAAATACTTGAAGTAATATTAGATGGTAAGTTGGCAAAGAATATTATAAGGTTTGGCCAAGATGGAGAACATTCAAATACTGTATTAAAAATGTGTGCCTGTGAGAAACATGAGCGTATGTCCATAGTGCTTTAGCTACTTTTTTGTCTAGATTCATCTACATGTAATGAGGGGGGTGTTTTAATAATTTATGATAAACTTTATCGATCTCAACTAGTGATGTGTGTAGGTTGTACTGAAAGCAGTGCTGGGACTTTGTAGATCTTTTGACCAAAGTTAATCTTTTTGTCTATTTACCTTCCTGGTTAGTTTCAGGGTTTTGTTGTCCCACCTGGGGATACATTAGGGTTGATATATCATGAGACTGGGAAGTTTGTCACTGCCTTCCTTTTTGTCAGAGAGAGTGACTTATGGCAAGGTCACTCAGACATTTCTGTGGCACAGTAGGAATCCGAGCTCTGATCTCACAGAGTCTTAGCCCAATTCTCAAAACAGGTGTCCTCTTTAGGAATTTGCTACGTCCTTCAGATTAAGTCTCTAGTAACTCCTAGCAGAGGTATATCATAGAATCACCTGGTGGACCTAGCAAATTCCCAGAGATGACATATTTTGTCTGACATGTGTATTTAAAAACACAGGTACTGATACTGCAGTCTATGGGCGTTTAACTATACTAATTTTAATTCGTGTACCTAGTTTTAAATCGTGTGTGAGCCACCTTAGTTCCCATTTGCGAAAAAGATTGGTAATTAATTAATTCAGTCTGCAATTACAGTTCTTATAAGAGTGGTTGCTAAGCAAGATAATGTTGTCAACCTTCATGCGCAATGTACAATTTTTCTTGGATCCCCATATAATTTTTATGTGACATTGACATATTTACACAATTTGTTCCTCCCTTTCAAAATTATTTCCAGCTTCTTATAAATCTATGTGGGAATATAAAACGTGTGATGGAGAGACACCCTTAACATTAGCTGCCAAGTCTGGCCATACGACCAATGTCAAGACGTTATTGGACAAGGGGATCTGGCCCAATACTACTAACAGAAAAGGAGAAACGCCTCTTCTGATTGGTAATCAACTCATTAATGGCCTTTTTAATTACCAGCTCTTACAGGTTTAAAAACGTACTGTTGAAAGGAAATCTGGAAGCCCAGCATGCAAACCTCTGATCACATGAGTTATTGATACTCGGCCTGTTACTTGCTGTTAAATTGCACTTCATGTTGATTTTCTGTGACTCTGAATTGTTCCTTTTTGTTCCTGTACTGCTCTGTGCTTGTTCTGAAAGCTCACGTGTACAAATCAGTTGAGGAATGAAAAGGGAACAGTTTAGTAGGCTGGCTTTTACCCCCTAGTTTCTAAGGCATCAAAAAGTGTATTATTTGGAGCTCCAGAAGACTGTGTGCTGTTCAGGATCCTGTGTCATAGCCTCTTGATTGGTGTCCTTATTTAACATTGCCAACATTGTTTTGACTTGATAATAAACCTGACTTTGTTAAAGCCTTTGGGCTTGATGATTTCATACAAATCTCTGCACATGCAATTTTTTGACTATTTTAACCTTTAAACTATTTAACTCTTCACTTATTCAGTTGTATAATATGTTTTTAGAATATTTAAATTATTTTAAAATTAAATTATATTTAAATTAAATTATCTTAATACTTTAATGCAGTATTTTTAAACTGATTTTATGGTAAGAGTCCTGGAATCTTATGATCTAGGGTAGGAAATTTTCAAAAAGATGTCCATATCATGAGGAATTATTTCCCAGCTGGAGTGAAGTTACCTGAAACTGATTACAACCCAACACTATTAAAAAAAAACACATGACTTCTGGTCCCAGCATACCCTAGAAATACATTGGATGACCTAGAGATTCCTGGAGGGGATGTCCTCTCTAGGAATTTGCCAGGTCCTCCAACACTGTGTGAAATTTCAGGATATACTATAGAATTGCCTAGCAAATTCCTAGGGGGACCAGATATGAGTTTTGCAATTATGGAAATCTTAGGCTGGATCTACACTGCTGTATAGTGCAGTTTGGAACTGCATTATGTAGTCAATTTAGGCCCCTTCTACACTGTCCTTATATCTCAGGATCCAATCTGCTTTGAACTGGATTATATGAGTCTCCACTACCATATAATCTGTGATAAACAGATAATCTGGGATCAGATCATGGGATATAAGGACAGTGTAGAAGGGGCCGTAGTGCTGTATAATTCAGTTCAATGTATTATTTGGCAGTGTAAATCCAGCCTTACTATATTTTAATTAGTAAATAAATAGCCTCAGGTGCTCATTTATCTTAGGTATTCTTTCATGTGGTAAAGCATGTAGTAGAATGTTTTATTACACATTGACAGATGGCTTTTAAAAAAATGACAGCTAAAATGTACCTTTTTTCTCCTAAAATGTTAAGCAGTGAGACAAGGCTCTCATGAAATGGCTTCTGCTCTGATCGAACACAACTGCACCATCAACCAACCATGTGTAAAACGTTGGTCAGCAATCCATGAAGCTGCAAAACAGGGTCGAAATGATATTGTTGCTCTTCTTCTGAAGAATGGTGCCAACGTTCACTTGAGAGATGGATACGGGGTAACTCCATTAGGAGTGGCAGCTGAATTCGGTCACTGTGATGTGCTAGAGCATTTAATTCACAAAGGTGAGTTGACAAGCGTGTAAATGCTTTTAACAGGTAACACCTTCTGCTACAGAGAGATTGTCTGTTTCTTTGTATATGTGCTTAAAGGAATTTTTGAGCTTCCTCTGCCACCAGAGGATTAATACTTACTATCACTATACTTCAAAATGAATTTTGGACACTTATCCATGGTTTATTGGAGCAGGCACACTTCTTGAATCTCTGAGGTATTTTTCTTTTTCTTTGAAATTTTCAGTGTTAATTGATAAAGTGAGTCTTGCTCCCTCCAGTCAAAAATTACTTAAATATCTGTAAAAGCTTTTAATATCCATAAGGGTCCTACATCATAGGCAATGTAGACAAAGTGGTTGATTCACTCTGCAGAGCTGTAGCCAGCTATGAAGTTTTCTGGCTTTGGTGAAGTCCCTGAAGTTTACTTGTTAATACTGTAGTGCTGGCATGATTTATGTACATTTATTTGAGTGTCTTGAAGCAAGAGCAAATGTAGTCTCAAAGGGCATACAGTAGACATTTTCTTTTCACTGTATCACAGTGGTTCCCAACCCCCCCCCCTTTTTTTTTTTTAACCAGGGAGCACTTGACCAGGGGCCACTTTGACCAGGAACTAGTCTCCAAAATTAGTACCAAAAGGGTTATGAATAAGGTTTTGGGCAACTTTAGATTCGGTTTGGTTATTTGAGGTGCTAATTTTAAAAAAATGCATTGGATAGACCACATGAGCTCTAGTTTCTGATACCGAACATATGCCATCCAGTAGTCACCATCTGCTCACCCACAGAAAACCATATTTAACAATCTAGAGCTGATGTGGTCTATCCAATGCTATTTTCTGAATCAGCACCCCAAATAACCCCAGGAACGAATACATCAAGGTGCCCTGGCTTCCTTGCGCCACAGAGTGGCTTCGCTCAGGGGAACGGAGGAAGAGGAGAAGCAGCGGTCAGGAGTCTTGCTGTCATGCCTTTTGTGAGTAGTCAGCTTCTCCTCTCCTGAAATCCTCATTGCCACAGCAGTATAAGAGGGTTTCGTGAGACCAGTTGCACTCATTGGTGGTCCACAGACTACAGATTGGGAACCACTGCTGTATCATCATAGCAGTTCCCAATATATGTAAAGCAGGAAAATAAATAGCAATTTTAGACAATTTGTGACATGTAGAAAAGACAGTTGATTAACCCATAATGTTAAAATGTACCAGAAAATTGCATAACTGAATAAATAAGTACATAGGTATAATGTGCCTATAACTTGATTACCTCCCCCCCCCCTTCTTTACACAAAACCTAATTATATAACAGGAAAACTGACTGAGGACAAACAACCCGCATTCAGCTATTCATTTATTTAAATGTGTGTTTTTTCTAATAAAAACCTGCAGGACGTCAGTCTGTTTAAAAAACAGGAGAGACAGATAAATAAATGTAGTTCTGTTTCCTGTTTCCAACAAGAGCTTGGAAATGTTGCACTCCACAATAAAACACATGCTGGCTGGGGAGTTATGGGAATTTTTTTCCCCCCTAAAGAATGAAATTTTCCAAACTTTCACCTTTTCCTTGGCCACTAAGGCCCTTTCCACACAGTTGAATACAATCCCACATTATCTGCTTTGAACGTGAACATATGGCAGTGTGGACTCAAATAACCCGGTTCAAAGCAGATATTGTGGGATTTTCTGCCTTGATATGGCTGTGTGAAGGGCCCAAAGTGATACCTGTTATCAAATGTGATTGCAATATCTGTAGTAACAGTTCAACCATGGACCTGCCCAACTGCTATAAGAAATGCATTTAATGGTTACAATGCATGCTTAGTAAAATTTGCTTCACTTAAGCCAAAATGAAAGTATGATCCAAACATTTCCTGAGAGCTCATTGGGATTTTGTAATCCTGACAGTTGGCGTCAAATAGAAACAGCACCTATATGCATAATTAATTCCTTCCCTTTCAGCCCCATCCCATTCTTCAATTGGTTCCAGACATGTGGGTAACCTTCTGGTGCAGGTTGAGGAGAAGGAGGGAATGCTTTGTTACATAAAAATAAATCTGCTTGTGCAATGTCCCTTATGGATGGATACATCTGTCCCTTATTAATATCAAACACTGTGCTGAACTTTTTCTCCCTGCAGTCAACAAATACATAAGCTTTTTAAAAAATCACTGTAACTAATAATAAATGGCGATTTTTAGCCACATAAAATTCCAGAAGTTGTGTTATTATGATCTAGAATATGGAGGAATATTATAATCAAACAAAAATAAGAGAGCCATAAAGATTTGGGGCTAGGCACAGAAGAGGTAGTCAAACATTAGAAAAACCTGTGTTGCTGCTGGTGATTTTAGACTTAATTAATAGCCTTCCCCTTCCATTTTTAGTGTTAACATAGCAATACCCTTTAATACAGTTAATTACATGTATTTCAATAAAATAATTTTAAAGTAGAAAAAAATATATGATAGAACAGCCCTCCTGCATATAGGGCCCCCTTCTACTCAGTAGTTGGCACCCTTGTTTTTCACTTCCAAATCCCAATGGCATTGTTGGATTCACTGCAACTGATGACATATGTCTCATAGCTGACTGTTCAAGCAAAGCATAATTACTATTCTGCTCTTGGTCAGTTTTCTAAAATTGGAAATGAATTAATGGGGGAAGAAAGAAGTTACATTTACAACAAATCTTTACTCAAAATTCTTCTGGTTTGTTATTCCTGACCCCCACTAGGTGGTGATGTGCATGCTACAGCTGATGATGGATCATCAATACTCTTCGAAGCAGCTGGAGGTGGAAATCCAGACTGTATCTCTTTGTTGTTGGAATATGGAGGAAGTGGCAATATGCCTAATAAAGCAGGGCACCTTCCTATACATAGAGCAGCATATGAAGGGCATTATCTGTGAGTATGCTTCTTTAATCTTTCTTAGCCCAGTGCATTAGTATAGAAATTGCAGTACTCAGCTATGAATAAAGATGAAAGTATTTACGAGTTTAAGACTGTTAGCCATAGCTATGTATATAGTGCCCGAGACTAAGGTCCCTTCTGGAAAACAAAGAATGAAGAGAGGTCCCTCACAGTCTGAGAAAGTGATTGTATGTCCACATACCTGAGAGTAAGGTCCCTTCTACACTGCCCTATATCCCAGGATCTGATCCCAGATTATCTGGCAGTGGAGACTTGTATAATCCAGTTTAAAGTAGATAATCTGGGATCGGATCCTGGGATATAGGACAGTGTAGAAGGGGCTTAAGCCATCAACTTCATATAGGTTAGAACTCGTTTTAGTGCTTTCTTTTTATGCCTAACCTCTTCCTTCTCTCTCTTTCTCCACTCTATTCTCTTCTTGCTGGTCTTTAAGTCCCTTCATCCTAGAGTTTACTCAACCTTCCAATCTGCTAACTTGCTTCAATAATCTCTTTTCTAGACAGCATTTCCGTTGTGATAGAGTGCATTGATCCTGATTAAAGAACAAAGGCGCCAATGGCTCAGAGCAGTGTTTCTCAAACTGTGATCCTCCAGGTGTTCTGGATTTCTGGAAGTCTAAAACATCTGGAGGAGCACAGTTTGAGAAACTCTGGCTTAGAGAAACAAATTAAAGTCTTTTTTTATAGTAACTCCATTCCAAGGTAGAAAAAAAATGATTCAAGATGCTTTTCTAATCTAGCAGCATTCTAGGGAAGTTCAAAGAGAGACTCATGGGAGGGAGAAGAGGTGGAGAAACATCCCTAAGAGTATTGGTTTTAATCAGAAAGGGGACTCAAATCATCTAACCCTATGACTACTGCCTACTCTGAAGCATTGCTGATTTTTTAAATTCTAAGTGTTGCTTCACTTCCAACATCTTGGACTGGATCTAAGATTATCCAAACAGACAGTTCACATTATCTGTTTTGAACTGGATTATATGAGTCTACACTGCCATATAATCCAGTTCAGAGCAGATAATATGGCAGCGTAGATGGAGCCTTGGTCTCTCTTTGAATTGTTTGCAAAATACAGGTTTAGGACACTGCTGAGGAAAGCACCAACGGTCCTGCCTAGACGTTTTGTGGAGACAAATTACTCTCCTGCTAGTTTTCTTTCTTCTCTTTGAGGTAGGTCTAGTACTTTATGTCAGAATATGGCACTCTAGACAGCACATTTTTAATTAAAATGAATGTCTTCATTAAAATGGTGCTTTTCAGCTATCTGTCAATTGTTGTTGTTTTGTAGGGCCTTAAAATACCTCATTCCAGTTACCTCCAAAACTGCCATCCAGAAAAGTGGGCAGAGTCCCATGCACTCAGCTGCAGAAGGCCAAAACCCTCAGTGCCTAGAACTTTTAATTGAAAATGATTTCAATGTCAATGCTGTGCTGGCAGAACACATTTCAAAAAGTTATGACGACGAAAGGAAAACAGCGCTTTATTTTGCCGTTTCCAACAATGACATTCTCTCAATCGAAATACTTCTGCAGGCAGGTGCAGACCCAAACAAAGACCCTCTGAACTGCCTTCTGGTAGCAGTCAGAGCTGGGAACCATGAAATTGTGCGGTTGCTTCTCTCTTATGGTGCAAATGTCAACTGCTACTTCAACCTTGTGAATGACACCCATTTCCCCAGTGCCATTCAATATGCCTTGAATGACGAGGTAATGCTAAGGATGTTGCTCAACCATGGATACAAGGTGGATCTCTGCTTTGACTGCATGCATGGGGACATCTTTGGGAATTCTTTTGTTTGGTCAACAGTGGAGGAAGATATATTACCAGGGTGGACATCCTGTGTTGTTAAAGATAATCCAGTAAGTACATTCTGATTTTTTCCCTTTCTGTAGTATTCTAAGGATTCATTTCAATTAATGGTCTTGGTACTATCCTTTCACAGAAATGGTACAGATATTTTTCTTTCTTTAATGGATGCTTTTGGTGCAAATAAAAGAGGGGAGAAGAATAACAGAATCACAGAATCTTTAGAGTTCGAATGGACTATCAAGTTCTCAATCCCTTCTATGCAGTATTAAACAACTAAAGCAGTGATTCCCAAAGTGGGTGTTACCGCCCCCTTGTGGGCTCTGCAGTGATTGGGGGGCGGTAATGGCCACAGGTGCATTTGGGGGTGATGAATAACTGTAAGGGGGTGGTGAAAGCATAAAAGAAAGAAGAAAGGACTTAGAAAAATTGATTTCCAGGGGGTAGGCCAAATAAGTTTGGGAACCACTGAACTAAAGCAACCACAAAAGACCCCTTTCCAAGGTCTGTTTAAAAGCCTTTATCTATCATAAAGAGAATTTTTTTTACCACATTTAGAAAAAACATGAGAGAATGTGAATGGAAAGCATTGGCATAATTGTCTGAAGCATTTCCCCAAATTCTGTAAATGATGGAAGGATTGCATCTTGAAAAGACCATTCTTTTTAGGTATACATTCTTGGATTGGTTGCTGTTGAATTTAAGATAAACATGTAATTGCGACTTGACTGCCTGTTCTCAAAGGAGAAAAGAGTAAACGACTAAGGTCGGCATGGCTCTCTTTTTCTATTTTTAGCCATGATAACAAAGGCCAAGTGTAGAGTGAGGCTGAGGTTGCTTTGCTAGTTAAACATTTCAACACAGGATTTGCATTCTTAGTTGAACTGATAAGGGTCCTTAGGGATACATACTTAATATGGATCAGTCAGTTCAGCAGTTTGCAAACCAGCCGTGGTTATATTGAAGATAAGCTAATATAGTGCATTTGATTTCGAGAGAACCTGATTTGATCATTCTTGAATAGTTGACACACTCTAGCAGCACATGCCGGTACAATTGGTGCATTATGCCAATAGTTAAAGCCAAGGGCAAAATGCTCAATGGAGTACCAGCCACTGCTATGTGGACAGAAAGACCAAATCAATAATAATTATTATGTGGCAATGACTGATTCTACTAACACTCTCTGGTTGCCCTTTGGCTACCACAGGGTGGTCCAAAAGTTGCACTACCATTTAAAATATGAATAACTTTCTAAATATTTATTTACTTTTGAAATAACATTTCTGTAAATGACAATATAACATTTCATTTTTTTTAGTCTACTTAATGAAAATGACATCATACAAATGACCCTCGATTTACCACCTCACAAGCACACATCCTTTCAAATGCATTTTCCATTATATGTGTCAGCATGTTGGGTCCCAGTGTATGAGTTTCTGTTTGAATGTTTTCCTTCAGCTTCTGGATATGGTGGAATTTGTTAATCTTAGTGATTCTTTAGGTAGTCCTACAGGAAAAGAATCTGGAGCAGTTATGTCAGAACAAAATCTGTTTTACTCTTTTTCAAAACATGTCTTTCAGGAGCTGCATAGTCCCTCTCACAGTACAGGGAGTTGCTCCAGATGGTTGCCACCAAATGCCACTTATGCCCTGAATAGCTGGGAAGACCATACAATTTTCAAAATGAAATTCTTTAATCTTGATTCATTGGTCTGTTCTGTTGCACTCTAGCCAGAGTTTACCTTTGTCCTTAATATCATACAGGAGTCCAACAATACTAGCTAAAACGGTTTATTGTGAACAACAAAGATAAAAAGGACAAAAGGTAATATAGAAAGCAAAGTCCAAACAGCAATAGGAAAAAGGCATTCAAAAGGAAATAGTCCATACAGCAAAGTTCTGTTCAAAAATGACAAGATACCAGAAAAACCAGGAATCAAAACAGACATAAATCCATAAACAGGAATACAGCAACTTCATTCAAAACATGAATCCATGAACATGAGTATCAGACCATTCTCAAGATCTTAGACATAGACGTGAATGTGGAACAAGACCCAAGATCTGCATAGTAGTGCAGCGTTGCTGGATCTGACTCTTAAGAAAACAATTCTTTAATTTAAAGCCCACAAAGCCATGAAATCATGTCTTTGACACCTGCTCTGTTGCTTCAAAGACTTCTCACAAATTCTCTGTGACCTTTGTACTTTGACTCCCTCGTCCCTGAGACTGAGTCTCAAACTCCTACTAATTGCAGATGGGTTCACAAGGGAAATTTATGTCTCTCTCAACTCCTTATCTTTCATTGCTAAGGACTAGGGCAAAGGTTCTCCTTATCGTCTGATGCCACAGTATTTTCCTGTCTATTCTACTCTGCAGCGGTTTCTCTCTCACTAGCTACAGGCCGATTTCCCCAAGCAGAATCCTGATCTGAAATCCACTCATTTTCTTCACTGGAAAACCCATCAGTCCTTGCAACTTCTGATAACACCAACCCTCATCTTCAGCCTCTGGCTGAACTACAACATGTGCTAAATTTCTCCATAACAAGTGTCAAAGGCTTGAAGTATAAATATCTGAAAAGGAAATATTATGAAGATTGTTTGGAATTTTTTTAATGGTAGTGCAACTGTAAAAGCAACAAGACTGACTTCCATCTGACACATACTAGATTAAAAGAGAATTGTCTTATCAGGAGAAAAAATATTTCTGCCTTTACCTTCTGTGTTAACCATAAGATGCCACTGTAATACAATACAGCTGTCCTCCTAAAAATAAAGGTGTTCTATCATTTGCTTTAAAATGTGTTAATAGAATGAGGATTAAGTTGTTAATTGGTCAAACATCAATAAATCCAAAGTAATATATTTATTTGCACCTCAAAATGCTGCATTTCCGTTTCTCTCAAATAAATGAGAAGAAATGAAAAAGATAAGGATGCCACTTTTGAGAATTTTCTTCCAGATTTAAAGTGAAGTGGCATGATATTTGGATTCTTGCATTTGCTTTCTCTTTTGAATCCTGCACATAATTATTGATAACATTATACTGTATGTTATCTGTTTGGATAAGGCCAATTGGCTAATCAATAAAATTATTACGTTTTGATAACATTTGCACAATTCTTATTAATTACATCTGACAGTATATAGTATAACAGCGGACTTACTTCTTTTCAGTTCTGTGACTTTATTACTGTTCCTTGGATGAAACATTTAGTTGGACGCATTGTTCGGATATTCATAGATTATATGGATTACGTTCCCCTTTGCACAAAACTGAAGTTCGTCTTGGAATCACAAAAAGAATGGGAAGAGATACAGCAAATATTAGGTAAATGTATAGTATGTATAGCATGCCTAGTTAATGTAAATGGATATCCTTCAGGATAGATATGTTCATTTGTTTCATTTATTCATCACTTTCCCTCTAGAGTGGGATCCGAAGTAGCTCTCAAAGACAAATTAATTTTAAAATCTTATCAATAAAAAATGAAAAATCCCCACAGTAAACAGTATAAAAATACAAAACCTAAATAAATAAATAAAAATAAAGTGAACCATGGCTGCTTACACATCAAAAGTCTGCTTAACAAAAAGATCTTTGCCTGCTAGAGAAAAGAAAACACTAAGCCAGTCTGTGACTAAGGTGAAGCCTTCCCCTGTTGACTTTCAAAATCTGGTAGGTTCACATGGGGAGATACACCATTTCAGATGGAATTTGAGCTATTAAGAGGTGTTAAGAATTATAGGAAGAAATACTTTGGTTAAATACTTTAACCAAAGATAAACTCCAGATGAAAGATTGAATTTTAGGATATGACAGATTATCAACATGGAATTTTAATGATAAAGTAGAAAAGTATGTACATGTATTCTGGAGCCCCAAATGTAGACACTGAAATAAATTGCATAAAAATCAATGGGAAGAGGTAATGACTCAAAAGAAATGACTGCTTTCATCTTTACCTGACCCGTGTAGTAATTAGTTTATGAGTGCGTGGTCAATGTATGGCAATGCCATGAAATTCATCAAGTTTTCATATGCAAGGAATATTCAGAGGCATTTTTGCCTGTTCCTTTATCTAAATATAGCTTAGTACTCATTGCACTCTCCCATCCAAGTACTAATCAGAACTGACACTGCCTAACTTCCAAAATCAGATGGATTCTGCTGCCTTCAGGTTATTTAGGTCACTGTATCATCAGCAACAGTAATGATGATCTATGATCATCACCTCACTGCCTCTGAGGATGCTTGCCATAGATGCACGCGAAACGTCAGGAGAAATGCCTCTAGAACATGGCCCTATAACCCAAAAAAAACCACAAGAACCTAGATCTATGATCAATTGTCAATATGGGAATTAATATGCTCTCAAAACTTGGGAAGAGTAATTAGAGCCAACCCTATGCAGTTCCTCTGTGGGCATTCCTTTTTGCCTGCACTGGGAGCAGTTTATGTCATTGTGGTGACCTAAAGGTCTATATCACAAACTGTTTCATGAGTTCAGTGTTGCTCTGGGTGTAGCTGGCTTTATTAGGACATGGTTTCTATTGCCTTTCTCCCTGGCTTTGTTTTGTTTTTGTCTTTTAGAGAATCCTCGTCCCCTAAAGCATTTGTGCCGCTTGAAAATACGGAAATACATGGGATTAGAGAGTACACAGAAGGCATTATCCATGAAGAAGGTTCCACTTCCACCAGTTCTTAAAGCATATATCCTATACAAAGAGTACGATCTTTATGGAAGAGAGATGAATTTGGCATGATAGTCAGTAATCTCAACACAGTCACATGGATGATGAGCCCAGCTGAACGTCTGTCTTTTGTATTGACACAATGAATGTGCCACAGGAACTAGATCCAAAGATAACTATTACTTACTGAAGCATATAAAAACTTGTTCATGGGTGTTGTATGAGAAGGCTGAGATAATCTTCCACTTGCACAAACATAAGAACAAGTATCATTTCTGCACTTGCTTAAGTGTTTCCATATCAGCAGTAGGAGATACTTTTTTCTGTGTGAGGTTCTTTGACTCTAGCCATTTTCCCTTTTGTCCAATAGCAATATAAATATGATTTTAAGGAAGTTTTAAGGTAACTACTTTTCTTAGCAGCACCATGCATGCAGTATCTGTATGTACCCATGCATATAAACCAGTGGTTCTCAACCTGTGGGTCCCCAGGTGTTTTGGCCTACAACTCCCAGAAATCCCAGCCAGTTTACCAGCTGATAGGTTTTCTGGGAGTTGAAGGCCAAAACATCTGGGGACCCACAGGTTGAGAACCACTGATGTAAACACATATTGTCAAAAATGAAGGAGACCACTAAGCATTGCCTGATGGATTTATGTAGAAGGGGCACATTTAAGATATGCATATCAAATCATTTTAAATATGTGTAGACTCATAGATTTTTATCTGCACATCAGTTCTTTCAGAGGTATTTTGCCTACATTTGCATGAGAATGAAAGAATGGAAGGTCCTAGTGACATTTTACGGCAGAATGTCCTGCAGTCCTCCACATTCACACAAAAATTGAATAAGGGTGTTGCATACTGTCTCATTGGCTTCTTTTTTAAAAATAATCTTTATTAGAAGTTTTTAATTTACAATTAAGAAAAAAAGAGAAAAAGAAACTAAAGGAAAAAGAAAAAAAGTACTATTAAAAGAAAAGTGTAAAGTACATGGATCCGTGTCTCATTGGCTTCTATGTAAGGAGCAAGATAAATGGAATCTTGGTTTGACTGCAGACTTGGAAGGAACTATCCAAGGTTCTGAATTTATTTCCAAAATAAGTTTAAGGCACTTTGGATAGTTCCTTAAAGTCTGTTAAAACCCAGAGCCGATTCACTTCTCTCTGGCATGGAAGTAATCAACTGTGGTGTGCACTGGTGTATCTGCTCACATGTTGCAATATATAGGAGGGATATGTATATTTATTTCCTATTGTTCAGTTTTTAATAAAACTATAAGTAAATTTACTTCCTTTTCAGAGTCTCTGGACATCTTTAAAAAGTTTAATCACTGTGCACTGTGGAAATACCCAGGTTAGAGACACAAATTTAGCTAAGTATTATTCACCTCTAAAACATTTTTGTTAATTTTTAAGAGACAGATAATCTATCATATATTTCCTAGAGGTAGTCAATTGCTGGATTATATTTAAAGTCACTTAGCTTTTGTTTTCCCATTGTATGTCTCTAGAAATAAATACTTTTGCTCTGTAGCACTCCCAGTGTTTGCTATTCCAATATTTTTCCTGGACTTCATCCAGCACTTGCCTTCTGAAAACAGCTCAACTTGAACAGTGGCATAATTGTAACTGCAAAATGCCACTCTTCTCCTCTCCTGGAATAACTTCAGTAGCAAGAAGCACCTGCTCTTGACCTCACCTCTAATAGCCTCTCTGGGAATAACTCAAGTAGTAGACACTCCTCATGCATAATTATAAGTTATACATTCCTTCTCCAGCTTTCTTCCAGCTGGTACTTCTTTCTTCCAGCTGGTGTCATGAATAATCCTTCACTATTCTTTTAGCTGCAGACATATAAAAGTCATAAAGAAAGTTGAAGGTGACACAGCAGAGACAGTGGTTGGCTTCCTGTATTGCAGTTAAAAATGTGTAACCTAAAATAACAGATCCATGTTGCTTCATATTTAGTTTTGCTACATATTGACAATCATGGCATCATTACCACAATTATAACTGCCCCATAAATCCTGCATCAACCAAGAAGTCATTCCTAACTTTTTTTTCCAATAGTGAGTAAGACTATGACAATCAGAAGTAGGAAATGTCTCAATTCCTAATTGCAGCTTTGCTTGCTGGCAGGAGGAGAATGGAAATGTTACCCTGCTTTACCTCAATTGTGAGCATTATAGACCTCCATTGCTTGGTGCAGCTGTTGTCTGTTAAGGTAGTTTTGGGAGGTTGGACCAGGACCTTATACTTAGATTCACATTCACAACTAAACTGGTGATGCAGGATCTCAACTAGTGTCCATTTGTTTCTTGCAAAACCCATGAAAAACCTGTAAATAGATGACAGTGGCAATGCAGGTCCATGTCCTAACCATAATTCCTTTTTCCTATGAATTTCAATTCAGTTTTGGGGGTGGGGGATCATCCATCTATTGTATGTCTTGTCCCAAATCCAATCTATCGCAGCTAAAGAATCAATAACCGATTCTATGAAAGACCAGTAGTGAAATCCTAGAAACTTATACTGTATCAACTAAGCTGACAATAGACATAAAAATACTTGGCCCTGATATAAGGCATTTTCCTAAATTCTTCAACTTCCATAGCAATTGTCTTCATTGGTGCCACCTCATGGTAATTCCAAGTCACACACCATTTAGCTAGGCAGGAATGTTTTGAAGCAATAATACGGAATCATATTTATTACTCTTCCTATTTGTTTTATGTTCACATTACTTCTTTGCAAGGCAGGATTAAATGAGAGTCAGTTCCTGGTTGTAGCCAATAAATCTTCATGCATGATGATGTTGGGTAGCATGGATATGAACAGATTTCTTCATTCTAGAAACAAGAACAAGTATGGTAATGGTCAACTATTTGATGATATATGGCTTTTATAATATTTAGCAGTTTTATACTGTTTTTTGAACATATAAAGCACTGGCAATGCATCCTCCTAAAGCTACAAGATAGGTAAGTATTGTCAGAGTGAAGAAAGGAAAAATATGGGTATTTAGTATCATGAACTAGAAAATGATCTGTTAGTTGACTCAGTGTAGTCAGCTATTCGCTACTAAAGAGCGCAGAAAAAACTTCCTTTTTCATCTTATCAGTTGGGTGTACCTGGGTATTCTAGGGGGAGTTCGACTGTAAATCAGTCTTCTGTGCTTTATTTTTGCCCCCTCCAATTTGTTTGTGCTTAAATTATCTCTGCTGACAGCACCCGGCACAAGCCAGCTAGATGATACACATACGAGGCATGTAGACATAATCTCTTACTGGCTTGTGCCTATTTTGGAGGAAGGCAGAGATGGTATGTATGGTGGTTGCACAAGAGCAAAGCACTGAGCCCCAAGGTTATTGGGGGCAAACATGGAGTTATCTGAAGAGTGAAAGGACAGTTGAGAGCAGTGGAAACTGAAATAAGAAATAAGAATAAGCTGAAGCATTGCAATTCTGATAGATTTCTGATAGATTTCACTTGCACACCCTGTCACTTGTACTTTTTATGTTGGTCATTGACCGTAATAAATGTTTATAGTGAAGATTTCTGACTAGAATAAATCAAAATGTCTGCTTGTTTATACAACATGGAAAATATCCTTTGTAGTGAGGCATCAGAGATGAAAGTATTATTCAAGACCTGACCAGTTGGAACAAATAGGAGCTGCCCAGAGCATAAAAGTCAGAATCCTGGCCTTCCACCTGCCCATCTCTCCTAAATACAGGCTGCATTTTGAACAACTTTGAGTTTGGAAGTGGAGGTTGTCATGGGTCTTTAATGCAAAAAATAGGGACCGGACGGGTGGACACTGGCAAATATGGGTGTTTCTACAAGGGGAACTCTGGTTCAGGTGTGGTTAGGAAAGTTCCTTCCCAGGCAGGTCCATACTACACCAAGGACCAGAGAAAAATTGTGGCTGTGGTGGCCCAGCAGATTGTTTCAGGTAGGCATGATGTACAACTGGTATCAGGTCATTTATGCGACAACAATGGCTAGTAGGTGGGCCAGCCTTGTGATAGGATCCAGACCCATGTGAGTCCACATGGGTCTGGATCCTCAGCAACCCTGAGAAGCTGTAACCAAATAAAATGTGGCCTTTTATTACTCAAACTTAGTGTTATTTTTCTATGTACATGTGTAAACAGGGGTAGCATTGCCTCTGTGGCCTGTCTTCAACTGGTGAGCTTGTTTCTTGTCCTGGTTGATTTGGTTATTTTTCCGCTCACCAGGCACAAACTCTTTGACTGTGGTCCTAGCTGAAATCAGAACAGCAATACTCCATATTACCAGAGAAGAAAGCAAGGTGTTAATAGTGTTAATAGTGTTTTCCAGGGGAAAATATATTAATATAAATAGGTTGTGTATCTATGCATATGGGTGATATGTATTTTAATCAGTTGCCAAGACTTACATTGCAGATTGCGTATTATTTCTCTGAAACGATTTGGAACAGAAGTGGTTTGAATTTCAGATTTTTTAAAAATCTTGGAATACCTAGGTTTCCAATTACATGCATAATGAGATGTCTTAGAGATGGAATCCAAGTTTAAAGATGAAATTCATTTAGATTTTGTATGTCCATTATTCAAATAGCATGAAGATAGTTTTAAACAATATCTTTAATAATCTTGTGTATGAAATAAACATACAAAATAAGTCAACATCGACGCCGAAATACAACGCCTGAGCTCTGCAAGTGCAGCATTTTCCTGAATGAAGCAGAGAGTGTTTGAGGACCGGGACATCCGCTAGGGATACTAAGGTGCTTGTCTATAAAGCTATTGTCCTCCCAACCCTGCTATATGCCTGTGAAACGTGGACTGTCTACAGACGTCACATGCAGCTCCTGGAACGATTCCATCAGCGCTGCCTCCGGAAAATCCTGCAAATCTCCTGGGAAGACAAGCGAACAAACGTCAGTGTGCTGGAAGAAGCAAAGACCACCAGCATTGAAGCGATGGTCCTCCAACATCAACTCCGCTGGGCCGGCCACGTTGTCCGGATGCCCGACCACCGTCTCCCAAAGCAGTTGCTCTACTCCGAACTTAAGAACGGAAAACGGAACGTTGGTGGACAGGAAAATAGATTTAAAGATGGGCTCAAAGCCAACCTTAAAAACTCTGGCATAGACACTGAGAACTGGGAAGCCCTGGCCCTTGAGCGCTCCAGCTGGAGGTCAGCTGTGACCAGCAGTGCTGCAGAATTTGAAGAGGCACGAATGGAGGGTGAAAGAGAGAAACGTGCCAAGAGGAAGGCACCTCAAGCCGGGACCGCCTTCCACCTGGAAACCAATGCCCTCACTGCGAAGAAGATGCAGAGCAAGAATAGGGCTCCACAGCCACATACGGACCCACAGGGAAACCCATGATGGAAGACCATCTTACTCGTTCAACGAGGGATCGCCTAAGTAAGAAATAAAGTTTGTGTACATTCAACCATCAGAAAGCAAAGAAATCACTATTTCAGACAATCTTGGGAACAATTTTGGATTACTTCAGATTTCAAAATTATTGATAAGAGACGCTTGATCTGTACTAGTTTTACTTTGTGCTTAGCACTTAATCAAACACTAGGGAAACGGAGCATGATTATTGTTCATCAGCCTCATGGTGGAAAGTCACTCTGATTACATTTACAAGGCAACTAGTACTACACCGTAGTTTGTTTCTATTATATGTTATCAAGCAAGAACTCTTTAAAATAAATTAATGTTTCACAACAATATAATTATTCTCACACCAGAAGCTGAAATTTCATCGTGATATGTGAATGTCAAAGATTTGCCAGGTTGAACGACATATTAATTGACTAATGCCTACAACTGTTCATCATCCAGGAACTATGTGAAATTGTTTTATGTATAGTTTTCAAACAATCAGAACCAAATAAGGTTGGTAGAATGCAAATTCTTTAAATATTGTGTGATTTGTGAATATATTTATGATTATAAAGACATAAAGATTTACTCTAAAGTGTGATTTATATATTAATGGGTTTTGAAATGTCAGTTTTTGTAGTAACCTACTCATAGTAGAATGTTTTAATTTGTTGACATTAATTTAAAAAAATATTTAACTTTTTACATTGATTGCTGCTAGCTTTCATGAGTCAATACTTTACTTTTAAAAATAATCCAAAATGATTGATTCCCCACATTGTCCCCCAAAATAAAATAATTTAACAAGGAATATTGTTAGTTACAAATTGTTAGTGGTTAACTATTAAATTATAAAATCACTGTTGATAATGTTAGAAAATTAGTTGCAATATTAAATTAAAACTCTTTATTAAGTAAGTATTATGGTTACCGCAATGGATATATACATTTGTAAATGAAAGGCAATTACAAAATTCCACAGATTCTGAAAGTGCAAGTTTCTGAATGAAATTATTGCATTTGGAATTCACTTCATGTATATCTTAAATGTTTCATCTTCTGTTTTTAGATTTATACAAGCTGAAGAAAGTGATTATAAACAGTCCTCTATATCCACAGATTCTGTGCCCACAGAATCAACTATCAATGATTTTAAAAAAAGAAAAATTCAAAAAGCAAATCTCGATTTTACCATTTTATAGAAGGGATGTTGTTTTACTACACCATTATGTATAATGGGATTTGAGAATCCATAGATTTTGATATCTACAAGGATCCTAAAATCAAATCCCAGCAGATGCCAGGGCCCATTGTATGCATAGTATGTGACTCTTTGAATCAGCAACTAGCGTGTCAGAGTATTGGAACTAGAATGAGTTGTAGAAAGTGATGAGTTGCCAAAAAGCATATTGACAATTGGAATCTCCATCCAAATCCCCTAGGATTTCATAACATTTAAATGAGAACTCTAGTAGCATTTTAAAATTTTCTCTGTAGCCACACAAGCTAGGAACAAGCTAGTTGCCACCTCAACAAGAGTTTTCTTAAAAATATTTCAGATCACTGCCAGGATTTTATATGGGACATCTACATTTGTGACAGTTGAGATGTTACATTGGTTCAGGTTGGGTAGTGAGTTATGTTGGTTTCACCAATATAGTGAAGGGTTTGAAACCTTTCAATTACACTGCTTGTTTACTAATTCTTTTGCAGAAGTGACCTTTGCCAAGGTAATTCAACCCATACATATTTTAAAAGTTTAAGTTTTATGCAATAAGCAGTTCAATGTAGCAGTTAAATCCCATAGTTCACACCTTTCTACTTGCCCTCATCTACATCTGCTTTGTTATGAGCACCACTAGATCACAATATTTTTATTTAATTACACATAACTTTCAGTTTTGCTAACATCATGTAAAAGCAAAAGAACAAATTAACAGGGATTAGTTTAAAGTGCTATAGCTTTCATAGAATCATAGAATTGTAGACTTAGAATGAATCAAAAGGATTATATAGTCCAACCTACCACCTTGCAGAAATGCACAACCAAAGCACTCCTAAAAGGTCTCAAGATCTATTCAAAGACCTCTATTTACCATAAAGTAAGACGTGACATCGACCATCTTTTGGAAAATGTGGGAGTATTCCACATGTAATGAATTTTCATAATTGTTTGGATCTTCCCTTATATTTCTTAAGTGTTTAGGTTGTCACATCTTGACGTAACCTGGATGATCATTTTTAAGTGTAGAATTTTTGGACTGTGATTGCATTCAACTAGGAGCACCGTTGCTGTCCTACTATATTCTGTTCATACTAGTGAGCATGAATAGCTGTAATCCAGCTCACTATGCTACCGAAACGGAGAGCCACAAAGTCCATCACATGATGCAGGGCAACTTCTGGTAGGACTCCATGGGGTACTATTTCAGTAGCATAGAGAAACGGAGCCCAGAATGCCTTTTGAGGAGTCAGTTGTTATTTGACTCCTAGTGGCACAAAGTGGGGGAATATAGGGGAAAGACGGATCTGGGGGAGAAAAAGATGTGGGTTGACAGTAGACTGATCACAATGGGAGGGAACAGAGTAAAATGGTTCCCTCCACTGCCCACACTTTCCCCCACTTTCCCTCTGCTCATGTGATGAAGTCCACAATCAATATTAAGTATGCTTCAAATTAGTTATATATTTAAGTGGAATTTCAGGATTGATCAATATGTCAGAAAGCAGCTTATTGAATTCTACAGATTTTGGGGAAAAACACACAGTGAGTTATATCAATGTTAACCTTAGTCATGTCACTGGGTTTTCTCTATCGGGGACTGGTTAATCACAGGTAAAAAAACTTGTGGTTTTTAGTAGTTGGGACTGTCACTAGATTTAATTCATTGATTAAATGGTAATGATAAAAAGACAACATTTGAAAAAATGGTGGTTTTGAAATTAGTGCTGTAATACTCTGATATATTTTTGAGATAAGAAGAAAGTGCATATTAAGGGCATATTAAAAAACTAATTTAAAACAACAGCAAAGTGATATATTGAATTGGCATTGATAGGTTAACTTGCTGCTACATCTCTGTATAAATCAAACCAATGTAGAATCATAGAATCATAGAGTTGGAAGAGACCTTATGGGCCATCCAGTCCAACCCCCTGTCAGGAAGCAGGAAAATCACATTCAAAGCACTCCCAACAGATAGCTATCAAAGAAGGTAGAATAGTAGGACAAATCTAACCTATATCTATGATATACCGTCACATTTTTTGTTTTTCATTCTCCTTTTTGTGTATTTGGAGAAAAAAAATGGAAGATGCATTAGGAAGTCAAAGGAGGACAATGAGATGGTGATGATGACGATGATATGTATAATATGAAAGTACCTTGGTTGTATTAATCAAAGATTATTGTGGTATATTCATATTAAAGCTATCTGGAGAGCGGCAATGTGAAAGAATAGTTTAGATATGGCTTTGTCTACTGTGTTTGAATATAAAATGGTTCATGGTCAGCATAAAACAATTAACATGATCTGAAAGAGAATTCATTGTATTTTCCACCTATGGCAGGCATGTAGCTGGGGGGGGGGGGGGTGGGGGCTTCAGCTCCCCCTGAAATTCTCATGGTGGGCTGCAAAAAGGCCTTACTGGTACATTATTTAAACTGTTATGTTTATTCATATCATGATCTGATCACCATGTTCAATATATCCCATATGCATGGGGGTATTGGGGTAACAATACAAAAGGTTTGCTAGGGTAGACCCTCTTTCACTCAGACTCAGCCCCCACCCAAACTCCCCCCCCCCCCCCCCCCCCCGGAATCAAAATCCTGGCTACGGGCCTGACCTATGGTATTCTGTTTTAGTATGAGCCCGACCATATTGCATTGGTTAATGATTGGGCTGGCCCAAGTGTGAATTTTGCATCAAATATTAGAACCGAAAATAAATACATTTCATTGTTGTCTCTATGTTGCTCTTATCACAGACAAAAGAGGAAAGGCCATTACTCCCATATGACTTCATGGTTACAATGCCAGAGCAGATGACCTGAACAATGGAATCATTTGGCAAAGAATCCCAGTGGAAAAGTTATTCCTTCACATGCCTTCAGCACATGTTTCATCCCATTCGCTTGACTGATACCTCTGTTAAATGTAGATTATGACACACCATCCTGAAGGACAGGACAGCATGCACAGTTTTCAATGGTCATGTTGATTTCTTTGGAAATCAGGTTGCCTGTGTGGCCACTATGTTGAGTCCCTGAAAGGTTCCGCTTCTTTTACCTTCTTTGTTTTTCTTAATTAAAACAGTGCTCTGAGATATTGGTTCAGCCCATGTTATGTAAGGAAGGACAGTGTTTTACCACCTCATCAGACGGGGATATTTTTAATGTTCTTGGATGCTTCCATCCCATCTGGAGGACTGATGGACTTGCTGCCCATCAGATTACGCATGGGAGCTTCCTGTGGAAGCCCCTCCTCCAACTTGAAGGAAAGTGTTGCAGATGCTTCCCTTTTAATATGGGAGCAGGCATGTAGCTGTTATAAAATAATGAACCCTGAGTTTGTGCTCAGTAGGTCTGAAATGCATTATTTCCTGAGAGGTCAATACATTCCTTTCCATTTATGTTTCTAAGTGAATAGTTTGCGCAAATAATGTCCTCTAGAAATTTGTCAAGATTGAATATTTCAATTTTCCCTGTGAAATAATCTCCATAATAACTGTTCTTGCTCTCTCTCGTATTTGAGGAAAACCCAGTATCAAAAACCATACCTTTGGACTCTCCTTTGCTCTTTGTAAAATCATCAAAAGAATAACATTATTTAAGCTGAGCTCAATTTTTTGTTGTTGCTGTCATAGACATGGTTGAATAATTGTCCTCTTTGTCTAATCATTCAAAGCATGCCTAGTATCAGCTGTGTGGCATAATCCAGTTTTGGAAGCTTATATCCTCCTGGTTTCATGTTACATTCCTGAAGATAACAAATCTTCAGACATGACACAGTTACAGTCCTTTCCTTCCACCAACTCCTTCCAATAATATGGGAGTCATGAGTGCTATGGCTGTGAAAATAAGTGTTTTGCTAACCCTTGCAAATGGAACTAAGAAGATCAGAGCAAAACTCTCTTGTTTATCGACTCCCCATTGTTTGGGCGAACTCAAATCTCTGTCAGTGTGCATGTTTTATTTCCCACCATCTTCCTGGTCTCTGAGTCCATAGATGAGTACACATTTTCCCCATATCAGGCTGCGCTAAATATGGTCATGGCCAGTATGTCAATAATCCCTGAGTTTAAGAGGCACACAGACAGTGGTGTGTCGGGACATTCTTTTGGTTGAACTCTCCTGCTGACGTCTGGTGCTTAAAACGGAGCATGCTTTCATCCTTCCGTGTATTGTCACAACCCCCTAGGAAAACTTTTAAAGGGTGCCGCAGCTACTTGGGGAAACAGTTGCTGACCAAACCAGACACAGACACCTTGGACTTGAACATCTGTGAATGCTGTATGGTAGTTTCAGCTTGACCTTGGCCTGACAAAAGAAGGGACCATGTCTACCTTTGGGTACAGGCGAGAGCTTAGTAAATATGAAGAACTAGATGAAGACGAGCTCCTTGCTTCTCTAACTGATGAGGAGTTGAAGGAGCTGGAGAGAGAGTTAGAGGACATTGAGCCTGACCGGAACCTTCCAGTGGGACACAGGCAGAAAAGCCTTACAGAGAAGACACCAACAGGGACTTTCAGCCGGGAGGCGCTGATGGCATACTGGGAAAGAGAAACAAGAAAACTTCTAGAAAAAGAGAGGATGGGTGCATGCGAAAAGGTAGGAGAGCAATTGCATTAGGCAAGTCCTCAAAACTTTGCCTGCCACTTACAACATGTATTGAAGCAAAACTTCCCCTTGGTATACACTGTAGAGTTAGAAGAGAAATTAAACAATGCTAGTAATAGTGATTAAAGTGATAATTGTGGGGAATGTCATTGAAATTTATATTTGGCTGTGGAAGGGCTGACCAACATACTCACAATGGTAGATTTCTTTTTCTAAAATGGTACCTCTTCAGATAGACATAAACAATAATTGCTTTTTTAAAAAGTGCAGTTAAAAATTAAAAAAATATATAAACATCAGGATATCTCAGGAAGTACAAAAATAGAAACTACTACCAAGGATTTTTTTAAAAAAATGTTTTTATTTTTATGTGAAGGTACGGTAGAGACCCACTTGTTGAACATAAATGGGCTGGCAGAATGTTGGATAAGTGAAAATGTTGGATAATAAGGAGAGATTAAGGAAAAACCTATTAAACATCAAATTACATTATGATTTTACAAATTAAGCACCAAAACATCATGTTTTAAACAAATTGACAGAAAAAGCATTTTAATACATGGTAACATTACGTAGTAATTACTGTATTTACAAATTCAGCACAAAAACATTGCAATGTATTGAAACAGGTGTGGATCCAGACAGGAGGCAAACTGCATTGGATAATACAGAACAAAGGATGAGCAAAGGTTGGATAAACGAGACTCTACTGTATATATTCAAATAAGTGATGAAACTACATGTGGGGAAGTGAAACAATTGTCTAAGGACTCTATTGTAATGTCCTTCTCTAGTTGGTGACCTCCAGTTGTGTAGAACTATGACTCCCTTCTTGCCCAGCCAAGATGGGTTGTTATTGGATGGGGTGGTGGGAATTGTTAATTCCACCACATTTGAAGGAAAGACTGTACCACCACATTGCCAAATGCATGGTCAAGATCTTAGACTCCAGTAGCACACTTCATGTTCATAGTGGTACTTCAGGTTTGGGTTTCAACTTTGGTTTTTTTTAAAAAAGAATCCTGAGAGCCAACAACCAGAACCAGATGAAAGTTGCAACAAGGAGAGAAAGAACACACATGCTAACTGCATTCTTCTCTGTTGTTGTCTTTGTCAGCTTCCATATTTTTTCTATGGTTTTAAATAATATAAGAGCCTCCAAATATGTAGGAAAGACTCTGAACTGCAAATATTTGCCCTCTTGTCTCCCTTGTGAAGGAGACAAGGATGACCAAAAATAAGCAAATTAGCAAACTTATTCTCACTCTTCCATCTGCACACCAAAATAGGGTATCATTTTAAATCTATATATGAGTCTAAAGAGTTAGAACACCTAGTTGAGCAGAGGACGAGTTCATTTTTGTAGTTTTTTTTCAAACAACTGGAACATCAAAGACATTTGCTTAACCATTAAAATCATTCAAGGATATAATAATAAATTCTCATCTATCCTTTGCCTGCTGCTTCTGTAAAGAACGGTGCAACTGGAGCCGGCCCTCCTGTGGGCTTTTTATCTTTTTTCTCTCTGCAGAAACTCCATCCCAAGTAGTTTTATAAATACAAGGGAGTTTCAAAGGCAGCCTGCTGTGGAGAACTTGGCATGGAGAGGGTGGAAGGAGATGTGGTATTTGGGGTAAAACTGCTGAAAATTATGGGATTAATCGAGCCAAGCACTTTTACATCTCATTGGTTCCAATAAAGAAGAACTAAGTGGTAACCTTTAATGTTCATGTTAAACATTATTTTTTTTCTTGTGGTAGGATTTAACAATTCTAAGATAGGGATAGGTATTTGAGGTGGGGGCATCAGTTCCCCTCAACTAGGAACCCTTGGTGGCGCAGTGGGCTAAACCCCTGAGCCGGCAGGACTGAAGACCGAAAGGTCGCAGGTTCGAATCCGGGGAGAGGCGGATAAGCTCCCTCTATCAGCTCCAGCTCCTCATGCGGGGACATGAGAGAAGCCTCCCACAAGGATGATAAAAACATCAAAATCATCCAGGTGTCCCCTGGGCAATGTCCTTGCAGACAACCAATTCTCTCACACCAGAAGCAACTTGCAGTTTCTCAAGTCGCTCCTGACACGACAAAAAAAATATCAGTTCCCCTCCTTTATGAACCACAGAAATACTTCCATTTCGACTAGATGTTACATGTTTTAGGTTTGGGGTATCAGACCAAATACAGCCAGTGTTTGCACTTTGGGGAAAGAAGTTGGGGTGTAGTGAAAACATTGTGTTTCTGAAATGGTTTGAATTTTTCTCCATGTTTTTGGCTCCTTTTTGAGATGGAAAAAATAAATTAAAATATTGAAGAAGGGAGTTGTTACTTCAAGGGTTTCTAGGGCAAATTTGTGGACCAGATAATAAACCACAGAAACAACATGAAATCTATAGACTCTTCCAGATCTAAGGTCATGTCACATCTCTCCATTGAAATCAACAGAACAGAACAATGCCTGGCCTAGGCTGGATTGTTTATGAAAGGCATACACAAGTCTTTCTACATACTTAAGTCAGTCCACTTGAATTGCAACTACTGGCAAAGATCTAAATATTTTTCATGTTGACTTCAATATTCATGATTGGGTTATAGTGGGTCTCTTATAAAAACAGCTATAGTTGACAACTAGACCATGTGTTCCCCTTCTTTGACCATCAGTGGTAAACTTCTGTTGGTGGAATGACAGAAACTAATGTAATCCACAGTTTCCCTCCTTAAAATAAGTCTAGTTCTCCAAAACTGGGAAAGTTTCTGAAGTAGTTCTTCAGTCAGCATTGAGGGTGGAGAAGACAGTATGAAAATAACTCAGTAAAATGAACAGATATATATTCTCTCAGATTTTCCCCCTAAATGCATTTTTGTGGTACACCTCTAATAAGTTCAATATTTTAACATTGGGGGGAAAGGTAGGATTTCGCACAGCTTCACACAAATCCAGAGCTGCTCCTATGGTCTTGCCATGTGTGTCAAATCCAGCTGTGTTTCTTTTGATGATCTTTGCCATGGAATGTTGCATTTTAACCTGGCTTTTCCAGTTTATTCAGTGTTACATGAAAGTTAAATTTGGTCCAAAGGGAGAAGAGGATAGGAATGTATGCTCGTGGATTTGAGGAAAGAAGTATTCAGTGTTGTGGTCCACTCTTCCAGCACAATGCTATGTATGTCTATTCAAAAGCAACTCTCATTGAGTTCAGTTGGGCTTGGGGATTCTCTCCAGGATTATTGCTATAATTGATTGGTGGAATCCAGTGGAACATAAACTCCTGCCATGCTTTCTTCCATGGCAAGGGACTGGACTAGATGACCCATGTGGTATCTTCCAACTCTATGATTCTATAAAGCAGTGGTTCCAAACCTGTGGGTCCCCAGGTGTTTTGGCCTACAACTTCCAGAAATCTCAGCTGGTTTACCAGCTGTTAGGATTTCTGGGAGTTGAGGGCCAAAACATCTGGGGACCCACTGGTTGAGAACCACTGCTATAAAGGCTCCCTTCCTGAGATGTGAGGAAAACACCTGGAACCAATTTTCAGGAGAGCTGGGAAAGGAAAGAATGGCTTCTGGTTACTAAAAGCAGAATGTTGGATTTGGTCCTTAAGATTTTAATTATGGTTGGAAAGTTAACGACTTCATGAAATGTGGTTCCCCAAGGATAGCTGTTAATAATAATTGCCTTCTTCTTAAAAAATGGCCTGGTTATATAGTTAAAATACATATTTCATATTAAAAGATTTTGACTTGTTTCTTGAAGACACACAGGGTATTGTTTCCATTTGAGTGAGAAAAAAACCTGATTATTTGTCAATGTACCCAAAAAAGAGCAGGGGCTGACATTCATCTTTTCTGTGTGCTCTAGACCCCTTATTGACATGGTAAGTAATCTTCATAACAATCAATAACAATTGTACAGCTGTAACCCAATCATGCAACCATATAGCATTCAATGAATGGTTATTTTAAATTTGCTTTTAATGTATTTAAAAGAATGATTTCACAGTCTCAGCTATTGAAATTGAGACTTTATTGAAAACAATTAAACTACTAATACAGTTCTAAATTGCGGTGAAAAAAAAGAAACAGTTGGTTTTTATCTAAAATTACCGTCTTAATTAGCATTTTGACTAACTTGGAATCTTGGCAGAAATGCCTCTCTGAGATTGATATTGATTGATTGATTGATTAAACCAACAGATTCCACATTATCGCACTGAAGTCTTCTACTCAAAGATCAATTTTCTTGGATTTTGCAAAACTACATTGGGCTTAAAAAAATCACTCAGAGTTCAGAAATGGCAAAGTTTAGCTGACAGAAATAGTTCCATTAGAATGCATTACGCAAAATTAGCTGTTCTAATAATTGATTATACCTGCCTGATTTCTAAAAATACCATAGTATGAAATTTAAACACCCATTTCAACTTAAGTGTAAAAACAGTATGTATTCTAATTTAGAATCTGTTGGTTATTCCCAAATAGAACAGATTCATCCAGTCAATTCTTGGATAATTCAAGGGCCAGGGATTCCCAGTTCTCAGTGTTTATGCCACATTTTTAAGGGTTAGGTTTATGCTCATCTTCAAATCTCTTTTGCTGTCCAGTTGTTCTAACTGGAAACTAGCTATAACCAACAATGTTATGGATTTTGAAGGGGCTCGAATAGAGGGCGAAAGAGGAAATGCATCAAGCAAACCCTTGTTGGGACTGCCTTCCATCTGGAAACTGATGGCCTCATTGAGGACAGATCCTGCAGATCCAGAATAGATCTCTACATTCACGTATGAACCCACCTTCAAGACTCTACTTCTGGATGACAATCATACTCAGCTACAAGTGATAGCCTATGATAATGAGTGAATCCCCATGCTAGTAAATCCAGCTATTTCTGCAACTCCACTCTACGAGTTAGAACTAAAAATAGGATTTAGGCCCTAATCGAGTTAGATTTTTTTGAAGCACATTAATAATTAAGTTAACATGTTAACCCTTTCCAGGTATATCCCCCATCTGTTCCTAACATGTCTACAGGATCATATGTCTACATATCAAAAAAAGGAGAAAAAAAACAAAGAGATTACTCTATCTCTAATGAATAGCTGAGGGTGAAAACTGGGCTAGTAAAAAGTATTTTACAAATATATACTGGACAATATTTTAAGAGCCATCCACACTTATCATTCCCCCCCCCCCCCCCAATATAATCCTTTTATCCCTAGTCCCCATATAACCCATTTTTACTTTTGTATTATTTGTTTTTCAGATTTTTTTAAAGAGCTGTAAACATGACTTAAAAACAAGAATAAAATCCAGGAGTATTACAAATCTATATTTATCACAGCCACAACCTTGTTCTCTATCCATGTAAAGCAGCACAATTCAAGTGTCTTCCAAGGAATTATCTTGCTTCTGGATTGCTGCTTATCAGAACCCAGCGGGAAGAACTTATCTAAGCATTACAGCCAGAGTGTTGGTATGCAGTCACTCAAAGTATTAATATACTTTTTGTCGTGCAGGCTTCCTGACAGCAGCAAATAAATAATGATAAAGCCTAGTCTCCCATAAAATAATAAACAGCAACAATAATGATGCGAGAAGCTTTCAGCGCTGTGTAATGCAATAGCACACCCAAATAGCAACCACAGTTAAGGCTGGATCTGGAAAGGTACGGGCACAGTTAAGTCGATGCTTAATTTCACCCTACACTTGAGGCTGCTTGGCGCTCCTCTGAAATTGTTCTCAGTTACAAGCACAATTATTATTGTAACTTTAGCTTCAAGCATTTGGAGCATAAAGTACATGTCGCAGAGCCAGCCGGTGCCATTGCTGTATTTTATAAGTCCTTTATATATGCAATTGAAGCAACTTTCTTCAGGCAGAAAGAGGGTGGCTGGTAAGGATTTCTACTTTCCAGTTGCTCCTTTTAGAAGTGGGAAAAACACGATTAGAGTCCTGTGTATACAGGTCAACAGTCCAAGTGAATCAAGGCTCCAAGAAGATCCCAACCTTGCTTTACTAAGAATAGAATCTATATTCTCTGATTTTCATTTATTAATTCTAGTCACTGAGGTTACTAATTCCAGCTGTCAACTGTAGTAAGTTCTGTAAAAATAAGACTGGAATAGATTTAAACCCTTGTGAAATGTAGAAAAGTGCTAGGAGAAGTTGCAATTGATACAGTTGGATAGCTAATTGCATAAACCAGCATTTTTGTGCGAGGCAAGCTTAGAACACTGATTTTTTTTTTACTACAAGTCCCAGACACCCTCATCAGAATGATCATAGTGGCTAGATAATTCTGAGATCGGTAGTCCAAAAATATTACTGTTCCAAAAAGCTCTAGCATAGCAGCACACACACTGACAACATAAATGGAAAAATGTGTACATTTTCAAGTCAATATGCAAGGAATGTACAAGTTTCATTTGTCTGCGCAGCTCTAGGGATGAGGCAAGTATCAAACACACACCTTCAGCTTAGCAGTGGATTTCCCTTTCCCACCTCCTCCACCGCCACTACTTCTGCCTTCTTCTGTTATGAATTTATACATTATTAATTTATCTCATGTTAAATCAGCATAGAAATAATGGCATGTATTGTAATCATAAATCATATTATTTTCCGTCTGACTAATGCTAAAGATGCCCTTAAGTTGATGCCCATGACACAGAATCATAGTATTCCAAATGGCAATGCTACACAATGTACTAGAACTGCAAATAAATTATTATTATTATTATTAATATTATTATTAACCCATCTCTCTTCCATGTGTTTATTTTCAATTCAAAAACTGCTACTGTTGCAAGGATGTTTGTTTACATCTCATAAAACAAATGAGTATGGACTTCAAAAATACATTTTTTTAAACCCTTGGAAGTTCACAAGACTAGAATCTTTAGAATCTTTAGGATAAAATATGTTTTGACCTTGCTAATTGATGAATCTATATTACCCTTTAGGATTCTAAAGAACAGGAGGAGGAAGAGGAGGAGGATTCAGAAGACATTAATGAGGAATATTTCACAGGAAGTAATAGTGAAGTTTCTGAGGAGGCATATACTGAAGAAGAAGATGAAGAAGAGGAGGATAAAGAAGAGGAAGAGGAGGAGGAAGAAGACAAAGGTGAAGATAGAGAAGAAGAGAGGGTAGAGAAGGTGGAGGTAGAGGAGGAGGAAGAGGAGGAGGAGGAGGAGGAAGATGATGATGAAGAAGAAAGTGGTGCAGATAATGATGAAGAAAAGGAACCTGTTGAATGCAAAAAGACAACAAACAATGACAGCAAAAGAAGTTCAATCAGTATAAAACTTCAAAAATGCAATAACAAAGCTGAAAATGAAATAGTTGCCAATGGTCATAGTGAAAAGGATGCAGAAGATGTGAGCTATAGAAAGGGTGCCATGCATCCTTGTGGAAATCCCACTGTGATTGAAGATGCTTTAGAAAAAGTTAGAAATAATGATCCTGACACCACTGAAGTTAACCTAAACAACATTGAAAACATCACACCACAGATGCTTATACATTTTGCTCAGGCCCTAAGGAACAACACTGTGGTCAAAACCTTTAGTTTGGCCAACACTCATGCAGATGACAATGTTGCAATAGCTATTGCTGGTATGCTAAAAGTGAATCAATATATATCAAATCTGAATCTTGATTCTAATTTTATTACAGGAAAAGGGATATTAGCAATCATGCGGGCTTTGCAGAATAATAAGATTTTAACAGAATTAAGATTTCACAATCAAAGGCATATAATGGGTGGCCAGGTTGAAATGGACATAGCTAAACTTCTGAAGGACAATACAACAATTGTGAAACTAGGATATCACTTTGAGCTTGCTGGACCAAGAATGAGCATGACAAGTATCCTCACAAGAAACATGGATAAACAGAGACAGAAGCGGATGCAGGAGCAAAGACAGCAAGAATCCAATTGGAATGGAACACTCAGTCCAAAGACCAAAGCTTTGCAAAAGGGAACTCCCAGTTCTTCACCTTATTCTTCTCCCCGAAGTTCACCTTGGTCATCTCCAAAACTTCCTAAAAAAGTTCCCCCTGTTCAAAACCAACCCTCTCCTAGAAGTTCACCAAGGTCATCTCCAAAGATCCCTAAAAAAGTTCTTCCAGTTAAAAACCAACCTCCATCCCCACCACCTCCACCTCCTCCTCCACCACCACCTCCTCAAATAGTCCCAGAGAAAAAACTGCCAACCCGAAACATTGCTGAAGTTATCAAACAGCAGGAAAGTGCCCAAAAGGTTGTACCAAAAAAGCAGAAAAAGAAAAAAGTCAAGAAAAGCAAAAAATATGAGAATGAAATCTTGTCGGAAATTAAAAATTCATTGAAGTCAGTCTCAGACAAGAAGTCAGAAGAAGGTTCACGTCCCTCTACCCGACCTTCTACTCCAGTGAAATGTCTCCATACTGATCTCATGGATGCAATTCGTGGAAGTAGTATCAAACAGCTAAAGCGAGTAAGTATTCATCCCAGAATTTGATCAATGTTTTGGAAGATATTATATTAAGGGTACATGATAGTGAGTATTAAAAATGAATGTGTTGACAACTGGGTTCAGTGTCCTGGGTTCCCCCCTCCCCCATTCTTGAATCTATGGCCTGGGATAGAAAAACCACTAGAAATTTTCAAAAAAAGTGACAATTATAGGTGGTGTGTGAGAGGGAGAGAGGAGGAAAGAAAGATTATAAATGAAAAAAAAGAGAATAAGCCTATCTGCAGAGGTATACTTTTGAGGGGCATATCAGCCTGTCCAAACCTAAACATTACCTGAGATCAGAAAGGGCAGAGGTGGCAATACTACCAAACTGAAGAAGTGATCCACAAATAGTGCAAAGTATATACAGTAGTCATATTAAACTTCAGAAGCACTCTTTCTTGTACATTAACATTTTCTAGTCTTTCAGAAATTTCAAACTGATTTTCTTTAGAGAAAGTTGGAAGAGACCACAAGGGCTATTCCCACCTGCTACTATGCAGCAACACAGAATCAAAGCAGAGAAAGATGGCTTTCTAGCCTCTGTTTGAAAGTCTCCAAAACCCCTTTAGCATTCCACATGAAAGTAGAAAAAAACTTTTGATTCAAGATACACACCATGCCTGCTCTCTGATGAAGATTGTTAGATGAACTTAGAACATGTTGGGCATCATGGCATTGTTTGGCATCTTCCAAGGCTCATACTCCTGTAAGAACCCAACTGCTATCCTCTGGAACATCCTTTTTCCTCTTCCTTGAAATCACTGCCTATTCATCTGCCATCATTGGGTGGTAGACACAAACAGTGACAAGTGGCAAAGCCTGGGAGATTGAGTAATATCTTCTTATTTTATGGATCTAGAATGAGCTGACAAGCAATTATATTCAGATAAAAGTAGTTCACAGATGAAGCCTGAAGCCAACAGAACTGGGCATGACCTAGAGGGCTTTTAAAGTACTTTTTGTGGTTTTCCTCTTATAGTGACAATGTCAAAGTGATACAGTTGGGATTGTTTCTCATTCAGATGGTTTCTTCAGGTTGAGGCTGTCTAAAATTCAAAATGGAGATTGGAACAGTTATTTGAATTACAATTCCCAGGGAGAGGGAGGCACTTCTGGAAACCACAGTCCAAACGAGTAACTTTTCCAAGATCTGGATGAGAAGCAAATTATGTTTTCCAGTTTAGCAGTGAAAGGAAAATAATACATTAAGACTCTCTTATCCACTGGATCACTTTCTGAAATTTCACTTTTGAGAAGTATTTGTGGGCTTCTTTCAGTTCTCCAGTGTAACTCCATGGTATGCTTGGGCTGGAAGGTGACCTCCCTTCAAGTATCCTTACGAGCATCTGAGGAAGCAATGAGAGGAAAATAAGGAGCGAATCAGCAGCAGGTGGTGGTATGACTGAACCCTAGATTTTCAGACTGACTACTGAAACTTTGTGAATTAAGCCAGTCAGTTGAGGTCCAAAACATAGGGTTCAGTACTATCTGTGGTTTCAGGTATCCATGGGGCTCTTGGAACTTACCTCCCATATATAGGTTTTTTAAAACTGTAGGTCAGAATGTGATCTGTAAAGAGAAACCATTTCTCAGAATTAAATTTCAAGTATGGCCCAAGAGTATACTTTGGTAGATTGAGTTGTTATTACATTTCCCAAAATAGTTTATTTGGTGTTTGTTGATCATATTTATCTTGCACCATAGTTCTAAAATATATTTATTTCTGTTGTTTATGTTCTTGTTGGGTTGTTTCATTCCTGGACTGCACAAGTCTCTTGTGTCATCAAGTCTCCAGTCCTCAATGAGTAGCTAGACTAGAGATAAGATTAGAGTGAGAGATTCCTCTCCCCCATATTCCTGCGCATGCTTTCTTTCCCAGAAAGGGCTTTGTTTTTACTCTTCCTCCTTGCCACTATCCCCTCCCCCTTTGAAGATGTAGCAATGGAATGTCTGTGAGGTAACTTCCTTTTTAAAGATATTTTTTGTTGCCCTGGGCTTGGCCATGCGGCCATCCTCCATTATCTCTTCTGCCTTTAACTTCCTTCCAGTGAAGATGCATTTTGCCTCTCTCTCTAGGCAAAATGTAGTTGCATGGATATTTTGACTTTTTATCCTTTTACTTTTCTTAGAAGATGATATTTAGTAAGCTAGTTAGCTCCAAGACCTTTCCTATCTAGAATGTATTTCTTTTACTGACTCTGCAATCCTGTGCCATCCTAAGTATAGAAGCTTATCCCAGCTTCACCACACATAAGCTTCTGCTGGTTATGAAGTGTACTTCTGGTACTCTGCCATATTTATGGTGGAATCACCCCCAACTGAGGGTTATTTTTGAGCCTAACAGCTCAGATTCCCCTATTGTTATCATCGTCGTTGTTGCTGCTGCTTCCATATCTCTGAGATTAAGGCCATTGGGCACCAGTGAACCATTTTTTCCCTATGTTTATAAAGATGAGCAACAGTGTTTTGATATAATGGAAAAATAGCTTTTCTCTTATCCATGTACCTTCTCATGTAATAACAAGGATAATACTTAAATGAAAAGGAGCAGTGACATTTTAATATGTTAGGCAGTTGCAGTAGTTTGTGCATGATGGAGTAGTTTATGCTTGTTGCAGTAGTTCATGTGTGATAGTATATCAATGAGCACTTGGAATGGGATCCTGTGGACTTGCAATCCCTCAGTCTGCCACTCCATTTTGGTCCTCACCATTTTCATTGTCTAGCACCATGATGGTGAACCTATGACATGCGTGTCAGCATTGACACGCATGGCTATTTTTGATGACACGTGGCCACATGCAGCCGCATACAGAGAAGTACACCTTATAAGAGCCAATCTAATTCCATCCTTAAATTTGCAAAAGACTCTACAAATTTAACATCTTCATGTTTGAGCATTGTTCACTACATAACTCAGCACGGAATATACATTTTTCTTATTTAAACTATAAATATTGCAAAATTATGTTGTTGTTTTTCTCAAAGTTGACACCCCACCCAAATTATGCTCAGGTTTTTGGCAAATTTTGACACACTAAGCTCAAAAGGTTGCCCATCACTGGTCTAGCAGGACCTCTGCCCTGTGTCCCTCACCATGCATATATCAAAAGGTCTCTGCTTCCAAAGACCTCTCAACTAGCTTTTGACTTATTTTAGAATTGTCCTCATGAACATTTTTGATAATCAGATAACCTCTTTACAGTTGACATTACTAAATTTGGAAAAAATACCTTCTTTTATAGGTGGAAGTTCCACAAGCTTTGCGATAAAAGCATCCAATTAAGCCAAAAAATGGGGAAGATGACGATTACTATGGCGGTTAAAAGAAAGGTACCAAATTGTACTCAAGTGATCAAAGAGACTAATGTAAATGTCTTCAAACATGCACTCTTAGATTGAAAACATGAAGAGAGAAAATGCTGTTAAACAACAAGCAACACTTTTAAGCATTATTTTTCATTTGTAAATATGGAATGTACTTTTTTATTGAAATTTCTAGAGAAACTTGTTGAACGCAAGCAGCACTTCACATAATGTTCCTTCTACAGAGCAGTAACTGTTCAGTGACCTGTGTTTTTATTTTGTCTGCCTCATGAATTTACAATAAAGGTGGTTTGACTTTTTCAAGTGACAAATATTCATCTGTGATGGTTGGGAAAAAGTTTTTAACAGTGACACAAGAACATTCTCTATATACCTGAGAATTGGGATAGGTTCTTCTGGTTTATGATCGTCATTTAGAAACAATGTTAGGAATTTTTTGCTTGTTGCAGTTGCAGATGTAAATTCAAGAGCTGCTCATTACACAGATTTCTCAGCCATGTGAACTCTATGGAGCCCTGGCTAGCAATGGGTGGCACAGCCATGGAAACAATCTTTTCAGTTGGAGGATTTGTGATGATGATGTGGATGATTGTTATCTTGTATATCATGACTACCTAAGAACTGACAATGCAAGGATGTTTCTGTTTTATTCCCCACTGGGCTAATCTGTATGAAGCTGCTTTAAACAAGCCAATCATTGTTAGCCTAAGACATCTTACTGCCAAATGCATAGATGGCACTCCCTCCCACAGGGCTAACTGGGATGCAACTCCAATCTTTGTTCTGTTCTTTTCACACAATCACATCATCATAAACCAAGCAGCAGCAATGAGTTCAAGCACCTATTCACAGAACCACCAAACTGCTACTTTCTGCCCAGAAATAGGCCCCCCAAATTACTGAAGGCTGGAAAATGGAGCAAGAGTCAGAATGACAGTCATGGAAAAGAAGAACACATTTTGATAAATTTTCACCTTTAAGATGGATTAATATTATTTAAAAGAGTGATCTTTTATTCTTAGGGCCATAATGAGAACCTGGACAGCTTCTTCTTCTTCTTCTTCTTCTTCTTCTTCTAATAATAATAATAATAATAATAATAATAATAATAATAATAATAATAATGGCACAAGCCAGTAAAGGTGGTCCAAGTGGTGATCGGCACACTGGGTGCAGTGCCTAAAGACCTTGGCCTGCAGTTAAACACAATCAGTGCTGACAGGATTACCATCTGCCAGCTGCAAAAGGCCACTTTACTGTGATCTGCATGCATTATTCGTCGATATATCACACAGTCCTAGATACTTGGGAAGTGTCCGACCTGTGATCCAACACAACAGCCAGCAGAGTATCTGCTGTGGACTCATCTTGTGGTGTTTCTAATAATAATAATAATAATAATAATAATAATAATAATAATAATAATAATATTTGATTATTATTATTTCCAGTTGTTTCTCTTCAATCCTGCTGTCCAGGTGACAAGACATGATATGAGGAAGCTGACACAATATGAGGATGTAGTGATGTTGCTTAGTGATGTCAACAGACTTTACCTGCCCAGAAAATCAAGAGGCAGAGGGTTTCTGCAAGTGAAACAAAAGGTAGAAGAAAAGAAACATGCACTGGCAGATTATGTGAAAGGCAGTCAAGAACCAACATTGAGGGAAGTCAATAGTAGTAAACTGCTTAAAGTGCAAATGACAAAGAGTGACTACCATAAAAACACAACGCAGAGCAGAAGAGAAAACTGGTGAAAGAAGGCTCTCCATGGACAGTTCCTGGGAAAAAAATGAGAGCCAAATTGACAGAGAAAAAACATGGATGTGGCTTACAAATGGAACTTTGAAAAAGGAGTCGGAGGGCCTGATTCTGGAAACCCAAGAACAAGCCATTAAAACAAATGCCATCAAAGCCAGAATTGAAAAGTCGACGACAGATCCCAAGTGTAGACTCTGCAAGGAAGCAAATGAAACAATACATCACATCCTCAGCTGCTGCAAGAAGATCGCGCAGACAGACTACAAGCAGAGTCATAACGCCGTTGCTCAGATGATTCATTGGAAATTGTGCCACAAATACCATCTGCCTGCAACAAAGAACTGGTGAGATCACAAGCCTGAAAAAGTTACAGAAAATGAACATGTCAAACTACTCTGGGACTTACGAATTCAGACAGACAGTTTTGAAGCACAATACGCCTGACCTCACGATCATGTTAAAAAACAAAGTACGGATTGTCGATGTTGCAATCCCAGGCAACAGCAGGATTGAAGAGAAACAACTGGAAAAGCTGACACAATATGAGGATTTAAAGATCGAACTGCAAAGACTCTGGCACAAACCATTAAAGGTGGTCCCAGTGGTGATCAGCACATTGAATACAGTGCCTAAAGACCTTGGCCAGCACATAAACACAATTGGCACTGACAAAATTACCATCTGCCAGCTGCAAAAGGCCACCTTACTGGGATCTGCATGCATTATTCGCCGATACATCACACAGTCCTAATTAGTATATTCATAACACAATTTATGTATCCATTTATATTCCAGAAGGCTCATGTCTCACAAAGATTCCATACGAAGTTTCTTTGCTATGTTCATTTTTTCTTGGGAAGCGTCCAATGTGTGATCCAATACAACAGCCAGCAGAGTGATCTTGTTTTCTGTGGACTCATCTTGTTGTGTTTCAAATAATAATAATAATAATAATCATCATCATCATCATCATCATAATTATACCCCACCACCATCTCCCTGGAGGGACTCAAGGTGGCTCACAAAAGCCCTCTAGGTTGCCACACATAAAATAGAAATACATCTGCATAAGCATAAGGCTCTGAGTGGGTGTACTTTGCCAGCAAGATGCTGTTGGCTCATTTCATGATATAACTTGGAATAAACCATACTCCAAAGGAAAATGAAAAAAGTCCTACCCACTTATGGCAATCTTAGCTGCTATTGTACACTTTGCACAAGAAGCTCTACTGCTATTCTAGATCATAATTAGATCCAGTCCACAGCTACTTCAATCTTCTTCTGCTGAGAACACTCCTAGAATTAGGTTGACATCGAAGACATAGTGGTATCATGTAGGTGCCTTCTTTTACAGAAGGGGAATAATCTTTACAATGCATTCATTTGACTGCACAGGCACCATGTTGAATGCTTCTCAGCATAATCGAGATCTCATTTCTAACTGGGCAAATGGGCCTACAGTATTATTGAAATGGGTGCAAAGCACAGTTTTGCTGTTGTGTGCCTTTGAAGTCCTTTCTGACTTATTGCAAGTCTAAGGGGAACCTTTCAGTTTCCATGGGAAGATTTGTTGGGTGTCTTTGGCTTCCTCAAAGGTTGACAGTGTCACTTTCTAAGGTTCTCCGGTGGGTTTCTATGGCCAAGTAAGGATTTAAAGGCAGGTCTCCAAAACTGTAGTCCAATGCTCAGTTCCTGCAAACTGAGTACAAAATGTAAAAAATAGTTTGTGCTCAATTAACTCTGCGGGGGCAAAGAACAGGACGGCATCATTCCCTTACTTGTAGACTCAAGCAAAAGCAAGCTGCTGAAGCCCCTCACAGCTTTTGTGTTCTTCCTCAATAATAATTATTGCCATATTTACCTAGTTCTGATGTTGTTTGACCATACATATTCTGCCTGTCATCTATGAAATACTAGAGCATGGGTCCTCAAACTAAGGTCCAGGGGCTGAATGCGGCCCTCCAAGGTCATATACCCGGCCCTCGCTTAGGGTCAACCTAAGTCTGTAATGACTTGAAAGTACATATTTGTTAAAATTATTCTTCATTTTAATTATTGTATTGTTTTAAGTGGTTTTTGCACTACAAATAAGATATGTGCAGTGTGCATAGGAATTCATTCATTTTTTTTCAAATTATAATCCGGCCCTCCAACAGTTTGAGGGACAGTGACCTGGCCCTCTGTTCAAAAAATTTGAGGACCCCTGTACTAGAGGGTATAAACTACTATTCTGTTGACAATGTAGCACTCCTTGTGAACTGCCTGCCTTTTTCCAAATTCAGGCTACAGAAATTTGTCAGTACTTGATGCATAGGTGCATTTGTGGAATCATAATCATATATGTGTACTTATTTTTTTTTCATATGATCTCATAAATGAAGTAGATACACAGAACTGTAACCTCTTGGCTTATTGGGATAAATTACTGTATATAAATCCTCTCATGAAAAAAAAATCCTCCTTAGTTTTCTCATAGGAAAAACAAAGCTAGTGATCTATTTTCACATAATATTATTAAGAGGAAAATGCTATGCCATGAGGCACAGGAAGAGAAGGGGTTAAGTTGTGTTAACTGCTCTCTCAAATCCCGGAGGCAACTTGGTAACATTAGATGCATAAGCTTTCCTCTGGGACTGCATGCCAGCTTAGCTTCGTGTTCTATTCTATTCCCTTGAGTCATCATGAGGACAGAGGACATAGTTTCCTAGCCCTTAATGTCTGACCTACAGTGAATCATCTACCCACTTGCATCAACACCTTGAAGAAATGTAGTGACAAGAATACTGTGCAGGAATTATATAGTGGTTTCTGATTGTCAAGTGCATTTAGAACTAGGAAAGTAAATAATGCTTCAGTCCTGGATTAAATCAGGTATGGTATTGTTATACCATATGCATGTATGTTTGTGTGCGTGTGGGAGAGAGAGATTAAAATGAGAGAGAGAGAGAGGGAGAGAGAGAATCAAAGACAGTGAGAAAGATGTGCTAATTCCTAATTTATTTTTGCCACTACACTGGTTACACAGCACCTCTGGGCGTCCACAGCAGATACTGAGAATGCTACTGAGTTCAAAAGAATATCTACTTGCTGAGAGACCTTGGATTGGAAAATGTTGCCTACTAAACAAAAAAAAATGTATACAAAATGGATGGCAATACGATAAAGTGTTGTTCTTACTGAGCACGTATTTCCCAAGGACAGACTGTAGGTAATTTGCATTTAAAACACACACACAAACACACTCCAGTCAAAAATAAACAAGAGGCCAAAAAATGTCCTCATGAAAACTATGCACAGAAGCACAAAAGAATAAGCTGCCTGTAGGTCATCTGTACTCTGTTGTAAACCAAGGTGCAGTGCGCCAAACATTACAATTTAATAGATATCCTTGAAAGTCTCCTTGGCTGCCATTGTTTCAAATGCTACTGGGATTTGGGGGGGGGGGGGGAGGAAAACAACCTTTTGTAAAATTATGAAGTCAGTAAATATGATTCTCTGTTCACCTTTCCTTCATAATTCATAAAAAAGGAAGATGCAA